CCCGAAACCTGAAGGATCTGGAGAAGGTCTGTATGGAGGAGTGGGCCAAAATCCCTGCTGCAGTGTGTGCAAACCTGGTCAAGACCTACAGGAAACGTATGATCTCTGTAATTGCAAACAAACGTTTCTGTACCAAATATTAAGTTCTGCTTTTCTGATGTATCAAATACTTATGTCATGCAATAAAATGCAAATTAATTACTTAAAAATCATACAATGTGATTTTCTGGATTTTTGTTTTAGATTCCGTCTCTCACAGTTGAAGTGTACCTATGATAAAAATTACAGACCTCTACATGCTTTGTAAGTAGGAAAGCCTGCAAAATCGGCAGTGTATCAAATACTTGTTCTCCCCACTGTACTTGTTGAATTACTTCAGTGATGCTGAGCCTTCTTGGATTGTTGCTGTCTCAGATAAAGGGAGGAGAAAGATACACCAGTACTTCAGACAGTCATCTTAATGAAAGCTCCATGCAGACATCAACAAAATGTTATATTTAGTCCTCACAGAAATGCTCCCTACAGGGAAGGCAACTGTGCAGCATCAACTCTAATGTGTTACCTCAGTTGAGCACTTTTATCATAGGCCTACCCACACACGTTGTTAAAGGGAGACTTCGGGAGTCAGATGAACTTGTGGATACCATTTTTATGTCTCTGCGTGCAGTTTGAAGGAAGTTGCTAACAAGCGCTAGCGCAATTGCTAACTAGTTTTAGCGCAATGACTAGAAGTCTATGGGTATTTGCTAGCATGCTAGCAGATACCCATAGACTTCTAGTCATTGCGCTAACGCTAGTTATCACTGGCTCGCAAAACTACCTATAACTTCCTTCATACTGGAAACAAAGACACGAAAATGGTATCTATGAGTTCATCTGACTCCAGGGAAGTAGACAAAATGCCTCATTGCCAAAATCCTGAAGTATCCCTTTAAGGCTAAAATGCTATGTTAAGCATATAAATATGACACTTCCAGGGCAATGCCTTTGATAGGAGAAATATGTATCTGCCCAATGGAGCCTATAGAGTATGCCTATTGTTAAAATGTAATCTCAAACGAGCCACACAAAAGCACTAACTGGAATATGAAAATCTTAAAGAATTAATATCTATCAATATGCTACTTAATATCATCATCCTTCATCATCATTATCATCATCATCAAGAACAACAACATCCCCCTGAAATAGCCTGACATTTTTTCCTAGGTATCTATAGGCCAGGGTTTCCTAAACTCTGTCCTGGGGCCCGCCCTGGGTGCACGTTTTGGTTTTTACCCTAGCACTACAAAAGTATGTGGACACCCCTTCAAATTAATGGATTCTGCTATTTCAGCCACACCCGTTGCTGACAGGTGTATAAAATCGAGCACACAGCCATGCAATCTCGATAGACAAATATTGGCAGTAGAATGGCCTTACTAAAGAGCTCAGTGACTTTCAACGTGGCACCGTCATAGGATGCCACCTTTCCAACAAGTTTGTCAAATTTCTGCCCTGCTAGAGCTGCCCCGGTCAACTGTAAGTGCTGTTACTGTGAAGTGGAAACAACGGCTCAGCCACGAAGTGGTAGGCCACACAAATTCACAGAACGGGACCGCCGAGTGCTGAAGCACGTAGTGAGTAAAAACTGTCCTCGGTTGCAACACATTTTACATTTACATTTTAGTCATTTAGCAGACGCTCTTATCCAGAGCGACTTACAGTTAGTGAGCGCATACATTTTCATACTTTTTTCATACTGGCCCCCCGTGGGGATCGAACCCACAACCCTGACGTAGCAAACGCCATGCTCTACCAACTGAGCTACAGAGTTCCAAACTGCCGCTGGAAGCAATGTCAGCAAAATAACTGTTAGTCGGGAGCTTCATGAAATGGGTTTCCATGGCCGAGCAGCCTAAGATCACCATGTGCAATGCCAAACGTTGGCTGGAGTGGTGTAAAGCTCGCCGCCATTGGACTATGGAGCAATGGAAACGCATTCTCTGGAGTGATGGTAGTCCGACGGAAGAATCTGGGTTTGGCGGATGCCCGGAGAACACTACCTGCAATGCATAGTGCGAACTGTAAAGTTTGGTGGAGGAGGAATAATGGTCTGGGGCTGTTTTTCATGGTTCTGGCTAGGACCTTTATTTCCAGTGAAGGGAAATCTAAATGCTACAGCATACAATTATATTCTAGACGATTCTGTGCTTCCAACTTTTTTTATTTTTTTTATTTTACTAGGCAAGTCAGTTAAGAACAAATTCTTATTTACAATGACGGCCTACCAAACCCGGACGACGCTGGGCCAATTGTGCGCCGCCCTATGGGACTCCCAATCACGGCCGGTCGTGATACAGCCTGGAATCGAACCAGGGTCTGTAGTGACGCCTCAAGCACTGAGATGCAGTGCCTTAGACCGCTGCGCCACTTGGGAGCAACAGTTTGGGGAAGGCCTTTCCCTATTTCAGCATGACAATGCCCCCGTGCACAAAGCGAGGTCCATACAGAAATGGTTTGTCGAGATTGGTGGGGATGAACTTAACTGGCCTGCACAGAGCCCTGACCTCAACCCCATCCAACGCCTTTGGGATGAATTGGAATGCCGACTGCGAGCCAGGCCTAATTGCCCAACATCAGTGCCTGACCTCACGAATGCTCTTGTGGCTGAATGGAGGCAAGTCCCCGCAGCAATGTTCCAACATCTAGTGGAAAGCCTTCCCAGAACAGTGGAGGCTGTTATAGCAGTAAAGGGGGAACCAACTCCATATTAATGCCCATGATTTTGGAATGAGATGTTCTGTGTGTGGAGACATTCAGGCTTACTAGGAGCATATCAATATCCATTCCAGTGAGCATACATTTAATGTAGCCAATGCTACCATACAATTCCGTCCAACTGCTGTCAATCAAGAGAGCTGTCAAGGAAAGCACCACGTGATCTGAGAGGTCTCGGCTGTTAAATTGCAGCGCTGTCGCTATATGCAATTGCGTTAGTCACTCTCCAATAGAATGAATGGGACTCTAAATAGTATCCAATCAGAAGAAAGCGCCCGTGGCATATAAAACCTAGCAAAGCCGCTTAGTTCTGGACACCAGTATTAGCGTTGGTGTGATCGTTCCTGGTTGAAAGGAGTTTTGTGTCTTTCCCAAAGAAAAACGTCCTAAGGTAGGATATATTTTTTTTTTATGTGTAGAAATATATAAATACATAAATGCATAAGAATGTCATATTTGTGACATTGTTATAATGCGTCGAATGTGCTTTGTATTTAATACATGTATTTAAATATATGATGACACTGGCTAAACATTTTGAATTTAGGTTGAACAAAGACTTTGGTATTGTAGACAGCATCTCGGTAAAGCGCGTCCACCCTAGATATTTGTCAGTGATTTGGTTTCACATCAAAACAATGAATGATTATATCTAACTGTAAAATATTTTATCCTGGGTAAAATTGCCTCAAAGTCTTGTATACAAGGTTTGTATTTTCCGTTTGCCTAGTACTTTACAAACGACCTTGCAGCATCTCCTGTCTGCAAGGTCTTATTATCTGGTGCTGCGCATTACGCATTCGGTCGAGGGCTTCCATCAAAGATGCACAGTAGTCTATACACTTGCACTGTAGCCTACATATTTGGATTAACATGGGATGAATGCATGTATTTTAATCCATGCATTCCATGTATATGTTGTAGATTTGACATTCTAGAGAAATTAACAGTTGCTAGATGTGGGCACTGTAGCCTACATATTTGGATGAACATTAAAGCAAAATTAACGTGGATGAATGCATGCATTTTAATCCATGCATTCCATTGATATGTTGTAGATTTGACATTCTAGAGAAATTAACAGTTGCTAGATGTGGGCACCGAGGGTAGATTACATGTATCCCATCTCGGATGATGAGGAAGAGAGCCGCAAATGGTTGGATTTTTTTGTCCACCTCTTTGAACCGGGTGCCTAAATAGCTTACGACTGCGAAGCTACTCTGAAAATATAGTTACCAAGCTACCAATTACGTCACACTGGAAGAAGTTACACTACACTAAACCCACTGGACACAGGCGTGAATTCAACGTCTGTTCCACGTTGGTTCAGTTCAGAAGTGGAACAACGTTTATTCAAACAGTGTGTGCCCAGTGGGAAGCTACCCTTAAGAAAAATATAGTTGACTTAACTAAAGTTACTTTGGAAAAAGTTGTAACAAATTATCTTATGTAAATTTGAAATGTCATAGACTACAAATTGCAAGAACAAATCACTTTGGGGTCATATGTTAACAGAATGTGTATTTTAGCCTATTAAACAAGTGAGAATTAAGCAGGTGTGATGACGCAAAAGAAAGAAAATTCTGGCCTACTTCACCCATATTTTATTTTATTTTCCAAAAAGGGTAGTGTGTAGTTCCAGTAGTTAGCTACACCGCTACATGGCAAAAAAAGTTATTAACTATTGAAAACACTGCCTAGTTTTGAATTTAGTTCAACTACCACCAAGCTACTGCAAAATGTAGTTAAATTACTAGCTGAACGACAATTCATACAGAATAAACAGTCTTCTTCAACCTTTTTCCTATTAAAGGTGCACTATGCTGAAATCGCTCTGCAATTACCTGGTTGCTAAAATTCTAATAGTTCACCTAATTTCAGTTTATGTGACAAAACAAGCAATGTAGAGAATCATTGTACGATCAAAACCACTGTGAAATATATTTGAATTAATCCAAAAATATTGTATTTTCTTCAGCTTTTTGAAGCTGGTGTACAAAACCAAAAGTAAAAGATGCAAAAATGAAACTTGGGAACGGGAAGCATAGAAATAGTGCACATAGAACAGACCTACCGCTTCTTAGACTTGCTTTCAATGAGAATAACAAATCTATAACTCGGGTCGCCCAAAAAGTTATATATTGCAGCGTTAAACAGTGTAAGCTATTTAATTTGCCGGGTAGGCTATTTTGGCCACTAACATTACATTGTTTCATCCTTGCGCACAGGTGAAAGCAATCATGCCTTTCGGTAACACCCACAACAAGCTGAAGATGAACTACTCCGCAGAGCAGGAGTACCCCGACCTCAGCCAGCATAACAACCACATGGCCAAGGTGCTCACTCCAGAGATGTACGCCAACCTGAGGGACAAGGAAACTCCAAGTGGATTTACAGTGGATGATGTCATTCAAACTGGGATTGATAACCCGGGTAAATAGCCATTGCTTTGTCGACTTTAGTCTCAAGACGTCTGTGTTGTGCAGTTTCGATGTGAAGTGTGTAGAAAATGGGAGGGCAGAGGGCTTTATTTATAGCCCAGCCACTCATCCGGTGCTTGGATGTTGCAATGTGAATCACGTACCTTGTGAAAAACCTCCTCTGTTTAAATGGTGATCTTGTTGCCAAGGGCCTGTGCTATGGCCACTAATGAAATGTTCCGTAAAAAACAAGGAATGCATTATTTTTTTGCCCTGTCTAGCATTAAAGGAGCAATCAGCATTTGAAACAATAAGAAAGCGTCTTCCCTGTTTCGGGAAACTTTTTAAAAAATAGTTTTAACCATGTCTTGAGGATGTATAGTGTATGTTTACATAAAACAAGCTTATATTTTGGGTTCTGATGGGGTACGACGAATCAAATGGGTACAAAAAATTGATATAGCAACTGCAGATTGCCCTTTTAAGCATAGAACCTAATGGAGGTATACATGTATTAGGACTGATGTGGGAACCATGGCAACAGGCCTATTTATTGTTCTAATTTATTACAGCAGCATCACCAACGACCTTTGCTGAGCAAGGTCAAATCCATTATTTGTCTACATAGAACCATTGCTGAGCAAGTGACATTACAGACAAGGTTGAGGCCTTGCATTTTATTCCCCTCGATTTCAAGGTTGTAGAGTCATGTCTCTTTAAACCCTGAATTACGGTGGCTTTGAATTATCATCTAGTCCAGGGACCAATTACATTCAGCCTGATCCTATTTTTTACGAATGGACAGGGGGGCTGGAAAATAATTATAAATAAATAGCTCAGGTGGTAGAGCATGGCGCTTGCAACGCCAGGGTTGTGGGTTCGTTTCCCACGGGGGGCCAGTATGAAAAATGTATGCACTCACTAACTGTAAGTCGCTCTGGATAAGAGCGTCTGCTAAATGACTAAAATGTAAAAAATGTACACTGCAGATTAACCACAAGAAGCCCAAACTAATAGTATTTAGCCAAAAACATAATTTCAGACCTTGATTACATTGGGATACGATCACATATGTCTCTTTTTATGTGTGGTAATACTTGGGAATAGATTTCCGGGTAACACTTTACATTAAGTTCTCTTAATAAGCCATTTATAAACAGTTTGTAAAGAGTTTACTTACCATTTAATCATTGCTCCTACATTTGTAACTGTCAATAAGCAGTCTCTAAATAGTAATTTATGCATTTATAAACACTATTTTAATTAAACTGCCTTTTTCGTCAGCATGCTAGGCTAGCTGATGCTAAAGCAGCCCATTGGATTCCATGAAAATGGGAAGCCTAGTGTTGGGCTGCTTTAGCATTAGCTAGACTAGCATGCTGACGAAAAAGGCAGCTTAAAATAGTGTTTATAAATGCGTAAATTACTATTTAGAGATTGCTTAATACATTTTTACATTTTAGTCATTTAGCAGGCGCTCTTATCCAGAGCGACTTACAGTTAGTGAGTGCATACATTTTCACACTGGCCCCCCTGTGGGAAACGAACCCTCAACCCTGGCGTTGCAAGTGCCATGCTCTACCAACTGAGCTACAGGGGACTATTGACATTGCTTATTGACCAAAAAAACTTGGTGGGCCAATTTGGGGAACCCTGATGTAGGCCTTGCATTTGATGAGCTCTATTGCAGTCCCCTACTACAGCATCCAGTGTAACTAAGCATTAAACAGCTGAAGATGAGTGCCGGTATGCAAACCTTAGTCACCACAACCTTACGGTCTTCTTAACCCTTGACATGTACAACATTATGAATATCAACACAAAATGTGTAATAATGCCCAATGGCTTCACCGTAGATTGTGTTATTCCGACAGGCGTCTGCCTATGGAGGGTGGCTAAAGATATTATTGGATATAAGACCCATGCGACTGCAGGCACAACTGACCACCATTTTATAGAAAATTCCAAAACCAATTACTGTCAAAACCAATGCAAGTGCATTTTGTCAGTGAAATCGTCACTTGGATCGATGCAACCACCATTTTGTGTCCAAAGGCCCAGTTTCACCCTTTTTCTATTCTATTTCAGGCCATCCCTTCATCATGACAGTGGGCTGTGTGGCTGGAGACGAGGAGACGTACGAGGTGTTCAAGGAGCTGCTGGACCCCGTCATCGAAGACCGCCACGGTGGATACAAGCCCTCAGACAAACACAAGACCGACCTGAACCCAGACAACCTTGTGGTAAGGACACACACACCAAATCTCCACACACACTCACCACGCTGAATCATCAAACACACACAGTGAATCCCAAAACACCCCCTCTCCCCTACCAACTTGCTCGAAGGGCCCTCCGTAGTCACGTGTTGCTGACGAAACTAAGAGGGTGACTTCCAGAGAGTGGCGAGGGGATCAATAGACCCATCAACTTCGGGACACACTCGTGACTTGAATGATGCAATTCATTGTTCTACTTTTCAATAATAAACATGCATGAAATTAAAAATCTACAAATCCCTCCTGTCATTTTACAAGATATAAACATCAGTAACAGTTAAACATGTCATTTGGGAGGTATTTCATTTGTTACATGTGTGAAGTCTCAAACTCAGACAAACAAAGCCTGCAGCCTTGCTGGCTCGGTCGAAGTGGCTATCTGACGGTCTAATTAGCCCCTACACCCTCTATAATTTTCCGTCCCTCAGCTTTTGCCGGAGGCTCGCGTGAATGCGCAAATGGAGGGCCGAGGGGAAGGGGGTGAGTTGGGATTCAACCTCTGTCTCAATCTCCACACACCCTGAATCACCACATAGGCACCTACAAACTCCCAAGGGAGGCCTTGATGAGTCAATGTCGTAAACGGTGTGGTCAGCACTATTCACGAAGTTCAGGAAACCAATATGAAATGGAATTCAGTCAAAATCCATATTGGTCAAACTGGCCATACGGCCCATTGTTTTCAAACCTCCTTGTACCCCAATCCTGGTTTATACAGTCAAAACCAAATGTGTATTCCTGTTAGCTTTCATGCTAATTGCTAACACGGCTCTTGCCATTATTTTGTTAGGGTGGGGATGACCTGGACCCCAACTATGTCCTGAGCTCCAGAGTGAGAACTGGTAGGAGCGTCCGCGGCTTCTGCCTCCCCCCACACTGCAGCCGTGGGGAGCGACGTGCCATTGAGAACATGGCCATCGAAAGTGCGTAACGAGACCCTCTCCTCCAATTCCATGGCCTTATTTGTGTGCCGATGCTGCCCCCTGGCAGCACCAAGTGTAACTGTAGCTTAATCCTCCAATTGAAATGATACCGCACTGTAATTGGCTTGCTGCTTTTGACTGGCATCGGTTAAGACTTACTTATTCTGTATGTTTTATATAATGGAATCATTGACAAGAATTGGCACAAATATGACCGCTTGATTTGTCTAATTCTTACAAATATGCAGTTTGCTTTACATTTGGTGAAAAAGGATGAGCACTTTCATGTAGGCCAACTAGTTTTACTGATATTGGCATGTTGTTTTTTCAGGTCTAGCCTCACTGGATGGGGACCTCAATGGCCAGTATTACGCCCTGAAGAACATGACAGACGATGAGCAGCAACAGCTGATCGATGACCACTTCCTGTTCGACAAACCTGTGTCCCCCCTGCTGCTGGCGTCCGGGATGGGCCGCGACTGGCCTGACGGCAGGGGCATCTGGTGAGTTCCCCCGCTCTAGCCTTAGGGGCACCACAGGAGTTTTCTCCATGTAATCTTCCCCAGTCCAAAATGACTTCCTTTTCCTTTCATGATGGCAGATAAATTGGAGGGTAGTTAGTTGACCGCTTCAATGGTCTTAATTTCACAGTAGGCCCCATTAGAAGTTGTATTGAAAAGGCCCCTTTTGGACCATTTTAAATCCACATTCCATACTCTAAAAAGACTGAGGAATTTGCCCAAATAGTGATACACAGTTGATATGGGCTCTGATGTAAAGTTTCCCCTAAGTACAGGTCTAGGATCAGCTCCGCTCCTCCATCCTAACCTTAACCATTAGTGGGGTAAAATAAAAAAACTGACCCACGATCGGCGTCTATGGACAACTTCACCTGTGTACCAACTGGAGGGTGCCTTTTAGTGAGAATAAACCTGATCGTTATGTAAAATGGTGTCTCCTTCCAACCGACGGTGAACCAATATGTTGTTTTTGTTGACAGGCACAACGACGGCAAGACCTTCCTGGTCTGGGTGAACGAGGAAGACCATCTACGAGTCATCTCTATGCAGAAGGGAGGCAACATGAAGGAGGTGTTCCACCGCTTCTGCACAGGCCTCACAAAGGTGTGTGTGGTGTGCGCTCAGGATTCAAGGATGTCAAAGTCCAGTCCAGTCAGAAAGGCACACAATTATATAACATTGAACGACACACCTAACATTCAAATAAATGTTCAAAGCACACCACCGCTTTGGGGTTAATTCCATTTGGGAGACTACTTAAAATGTAGTGCAAGATTAAAACTGTCCCAAGAAAGGATGTAACCTTTAAACTCAAACTAGAAAGTCCCCTACACTGCAGTTGCTTTCTCAACTCAATGGTGCCACATAAGTCATAACCTTCGCCCCCTGACCCCTACAGATCGAGAGCCTGTTCAAGGACAAGGGTCATGAGTTCATGTGGAACGAGCACCTGGGCTACGTGCTCACTTGCCCCTCCAACCTGGGCACAGGGCTGCGCGCCGGCGTGCACGTCAAGCTGCCCAACGTCAGCAAGCACGAGAAGTTCGGTGAGGTCCTCAAGAGGTTGAGGCTGCAGAAGCGCGGCACAGGTACGTACATTTTCAACACCCCCCTCAACCCGGTTAGGAAATGTGGAGGGGAAATGCTGTCTAGCAGTTGTTATTGGATTTAAGCGAGCATCCAGCGGATCAGGAGTATTGTCTAGTCTCACTAGGTTTTATTTATGAAGCAATGTTTGTTACTGTGGGTGGCTAAAACATTGTGCGTTCAAGATGTCAATGTTGAATTGCATCTGAATCCGTGTACTTAAATTGACAGCGTTATGCTAATCCAACATGCCCCTACACCTTTGACCGAAAGCTGTAACTATGGGTACAATTCTCATAAATGTATAGCACTTTCCACTAGGTCCCAACTCTCCGCTGTATAGGACAGAGGTGGCCAACGCTCCTGGGGAGCTACCCTCCTGCAGGATTTCCTTCCAGCCCTAGTCCTGTTTCGGTTAAGTAGCTGCTCCTCAGGCCCCCCGAATATAGTAGCTGAAAGGTGTTATAGTAGGGCTGCCTGGAACTAAAACCTGCATGCCCAGTGCTTCTCCAGGAGCAGGGTTGGCCTGTCACTCCTTGTCTTATCCACCACCATCAGATTGTCTTTGGTACTGAACATGTACGTTCTGGGTCTTCCCCCTCAGGCGGCGTGGACACCGCAGCAGTAGGCGGCGTCTTCGACATCTCCAACGCCGACCGTCTGGGCTTCTCCGAGGTGGAGCTGGTGCAGATGGTTGTCGACGGCGTCAAGACCCTCGTCGAGATGGAGAAGCGCCTGGAGGGAGGCCAATCCTTCGACGACCTGATGCCCGACCAGAAGTGAACACGCTCACTCTGAAACCTTCTGACCTCTTCTCTCATGTCTCCCCCTCTCCCCCCCCCCTCCTCACCAATATCTCCCCCTTGTCTCAAAAAACAATAATCTTAACTACATCAAGGAAATACACTCCGCCCGACGCATTTAGTGGCACTAAAAAGTTAGATGAGTCTTCCATCTGTGTGATGAAGGATTTTGTATCTGCTGTCTTGTTGCAAAATATTGGATGGATCTTAACTTGAAATAAAAGTATCTTTGCCCAATGGAATATTCTTGTTGCGTGTTTGTCATAACTTATTTTGAGCAAGAGATTTGTTTGGAGATGCTTTCTTCAAGAAATAATTTCAAATACTCTCTCTGCTTGATTGAGCGTGCCTGTCTCAATTGACCAATAGAATAGTAATGAAACTGTATATCCTGCACAATGGCACTCCAGGCAGGCTAGAGCAAACGTTCAAAATACTTGAACCCAGGTCTTGATTCAATATGCTTATGCAGTAGAGCACAATGGTATGAATCCTTTTACAGTATTAGTTACTTTTCTCATTCTTAAAAAGGGGCAATATGTGATCGCTACATAAATATTTGAATATACCAATTGATTCTTGAATAGAAGTACTAATGCCTCATGAGCTTAGTTCCACTGTCATACCCCATCAGAACCCAAAATATAAACTTTTAAGCAATTGTAAACAAACACTGTATAGCCTCAAAACATGGTTAAAACTATAATGTTGATGTCATGAATGGTCAGTCCTTGCATCCATAGCTCTGTCTATAAACTTGAGTGGTTACAGTTCTTCAGCCCCATCCATCAGCTTTTTACCAAAACAGCAGTAGGGTCATTGCTTTATCATTTGAACTGCAGATTGTCCCTTTAAGGCTCATTATTAACCCCAGACGCCAGCAGTCTTGTCCTCGATTAATTTCTTTAAGATTTCAAGGCGATATCCATCTAGCTACGTCACTCTGGTATCCACTGAGATTAGATGCACATTAACCTCATGGTCTGTACACTGCCAGTGCAAAGTCATCAAAGAGAATCTGTATTCATCTTTATATTTTAATATTCTTATTTATAGGCTATCATAGCCTAACTGTTTCATATCAACTAATCGCCTTCAGACAGTCTGGACCACGACTATTATAAGGCCTAGATCAGCATTTCCCAAACTCGGTCCTTGGGACCCCAAGGGGTGCATATTTTGTTTTTTGCCATAGCACTACACAGCTGATTCAAATAATCTTAAAGCTTCGATAATTTGAATCAGCTGTGTAGTGTTAGGGCAAAAAAACAAAATGTGCACCCCTTGGGGTCCCGAGGACCGAGTTTGGAGCTGTCAAATCGGTGAGCAGCTGCTCTTGGTTGTCAGGAAGCCACACCCATCCCACTTGTGTTATAAGTTCAGAACGAGAAAGTGTAGGCTTTATAGAAATAATGACGCTCAAATTGAAAATGATTTAATTTAATTATGATTTCTAATCGAGGAGTAGATTAGGCTATATCTCCCATTCCAGTGTTGGAACTTGTAAACAAGGCTGCATGGGATTTCTCTTAATGCGACTCCGTGCAGCCAATGGCAATGTCCGCTTTAGGTATAATGCCAGGAGCCGCTTGTGGATTTGACAGCTAACTCAGTTCCACCTCCGTCCCCGCCAAAACAACCGCTATGCGGATGTCGGCTAAAGCGGATCTGATTGAATAGAGCTTAGTGCCAGCTCTTCAGGACCAGTTGGAGACCTCTGTCATACAGTGACATCTAGTGGTCCCATATATGGGAGCCTGCCTGTATGGGGAAGTCATTCAATTGAATTCAACGGAACCCATGATAACACTTTACCTTCCCACTCAGACCAAAATTACTAGCTGTAGCCATAGTATTAAGACACCTGTTAAGACACCTGTTTAGTACAAACTGGTTCATTAACATAACAGGTTGGCGTGTGTAGTGTCTGAAGGTCTTGATTTTTGCTGATGTTTGCAAATGGTGTAATAGATTAACTTTACTCTGCTTTGCTGAATCATCTGGAAAGCATTGCTACATAGGCTTCTTGGAATAGAGGACATTTGGAGATATGAGGAGGCCAGGGATTGGTCTATCTAAAACCACCCATCTTATGTTACATAGGATAAATACCATGATTGAACAAAGGACGAGGAGAAACAACATATTAACAGATTGGGCCGTTGTTCTCCAGATGTCTGTAAATTGATACTGTGATCTTTGATACAATAAACCTTTATAATCAAAGTACAGTGTAAGCGGACTTCTTATCATCACAGCATAATTAGCAACATATTTTGAGACACCACACGTGGTAGTGTGAGCCAAGGCTGTGAGCACATTTCACTCAATGATGACCTAGGATGTCCCCAAATGGAACCCTATTTTTGATTCCCTATGGGCCCTGTTCAAAAGTAGTGCACTATAAAGGGGACAGGGTACCATTTGGGACACATTCCCAGAGTACTCCACTAGAGCCATGCTAAAACACAGACAACTATGGCTTTTGCCACTAATTGGTCTTTTGACCAATCAGATCAGATCTTTTGCCAATAATTGGGCAAAATATCAGAATTAGGCTGCCTGTGTAACACACAGTCAGATAAGGAAAGAGACCTAGCATCAGTCAGACAGGGCCAGAGACCTAGCATACAGGGTTATGGAGCTGCCCTTGAATACTGATCTAATCAAATAATTAGAGTGACGTCTACTGAACAAAAAACATAAAACGCAACATGTAAAGTCTTGGTCCCATATTTCATGAATGGAAATAAAAGATCCCTTAAATTTTCCATACGCACAAAAAGCTTATTTCTCTCAAATTTTGTGCACAAATGTGATTACATCCCTGTTATTGAGCATTTCTCATTTGCCATGATAAACCATCCACCTGACAGGTGTGGCATATCAAGAAGCTGATTTAACAGCATAATCCTTACACAGGTGCACCTTGTGCTGGGGACAATAAAAGACCACTCTAAAATGTTCAGTTTTGTCACACAACACAATGCCACAGATGTTTTGATGCACCGTGCAATTGGCATGCTGACTGCAGGAATGTCCACCAGAGCTGTTGCCAGATAATTAAATGTTCATTTCTCTACCATATGCTGCCTCCAACGTCGTTTTAGAGAATTTGGCAGTATGTCCAACCGGCCTCACAACCGCAGACCACGTGTAACCATGCCAGCCCAGGGACCTCCACATCTGGCTTCTTCACCTGCGAGATCGTCTGAGACCAGTCACCCGGACAGCTGATGAAACTGAGGAGTATTTATGTCTGTAATAAAGCCCTTTTTGGGGGAAAAACGTATTCTGATTGGCTGAGCCTGGCTCCCCAGTGAGTGGGCCTGGCTCTCAAGTGGGTGGGCCGATGCCCTCCCAAGCCCACCCATGGCTACACCCCTGCCCAGTCATGTGAAATCCATAGATTAGGGCTTAATGAATGTATGTCAATTGACTGATGTCCTTATATGAACTGTAACTCAGTAAAATCGTTTAAATTGTTGCATGTTGTGTTTTTGTCTAGATCTACAGTGCAGTAGATTGAGACATGATTATCCAGATCATTGAAAGCTGAGAGCAGTAGGCATTCTATTTCGAGTCTCATATAGCTTTAATGCCTTTTCCGTGTCAGTGATGTCTAGTATTGTAACAATGAAGGTACTTTTTGTAATTGAGACATATATGGATATACTGTATACAGTTGAAGTCGGAAGTTTACATACACCTTAGCCAAATACATTTAAACTCAGTTTTTCACAATTCCTGACATTTAATCCTAGTAAAAATGAACTATCTTAGGTCAGTTAGGATCACCACTTTATTTTAAGAATGTGAAATGTCAGAATAATTGTAGAGAGAATGATTTATTTCAGCTTTTATTTCTTTCATCACATTCCCAGTGGGTCAGACGTTTACATACACTCAATTAGTATTTGGTAGCATTGCCTTTAAATTGTTTAACTTGGGTCAAACGTTTCGGGTAGCCTTCCACAAGCTTCCCAAAATAAGTTGGGGGAATTTTGGCCCATTCCTCCTGACAGAGCTGGTGTAACTGAGTCAGGTTTGCAGGCCTCCTTGCTCGCACACGCTTTTTCAGTTCTGCCCACACATTTTCTATAGGATTGAGGTCAGGGCTTTGTGATGGCCACTCCAATACCTTGACTATGTTGTCCTTAAGCCATTTTGCCACAACTTTGGAAGTATGCTTGGGGTCACTGTCCATTTGGAAGACCCATTTGCGACCAAGCTTTAACTTCCTGACTGATGTCTTGAGATGTTGCTTCAATATATCCACATCATTTTCCTTCCTCATGATGCCATCTATTTTGTGAAGTGCACCAGTCCCTCCTGCAGCAAAGCACCCCCACAGCATGATGCTGCCACCCTCGTGCTTCACGGTTGGGATGGTGTTCTTCGGCTCGCAAGCATCCCCCTTTTTCCTCCAAACATAACGATGGTCATTATGGCCAAACAGTTCTATTTTTGTTTAATCAGACCAGAGGACATTTCTCCAAAAAGTACGATCTTTGTCCACATGTGCAGTTGCAAACCGTAGTCTGGCTTTTTTATGGCGGTTTTGGAGCAGTGGCTTCTTTCTTGCTGAGTGGCCTTTCAGGTTATGTCGATATAAGACTTGTTTTACTGTGGATATATATACTTTTGTACCTGTTTCCTCCAGCATCTTCACAAGGTCCTTTGCTGTTGTTCTGGGATTGATTTGCACTTTTCGCACCAAAGTACGTTCATCTCTAGGAGACAGAATGTGTCTCCTTCCTGAGTGGTATGAAGGCTGTGTGGTCCCATGGTGTTTATACTTGCGTACTATTGTTTGTACAGATGAACGTGGTACCTTCAGGCATTTGGAAATTGCTCCCAAGGATGAACCATACTTGTGGAGGTCTACAATGTTTTTTCTGAGGTCTTGGCTGATTTCTTTTGATTTTCCCATGATGTCAAGCAAAGAGGCACTGAGTTTGAAGGTAGGCCTTGAAATACATCCACAGGTACACCTCCAATTGACTCAAATTATGTAAATTAGCCTATCAGAAGCTTCTAAAGCCATGACATCATTTTCTGGAATTTTACAAGCTGTTTAAATGCACAGTCAACTTAGTGTATGTAAACTTCTGACCCACTGGAATTGTGATACAGTGAATTATAAGTGAAATAATCTGTCTGTAAACAATTGTTGGAAAAATTACTTGTGTCATGCACAAAGTAGATGTCCTAACCGACTTGCCAAAACTATAGTTTGTTAACAAGAAATGTGTGGAGTGGTTGAAAAACGAGTTTTAATGGCTCCAACCTAAGTGTATGTAAACTTCTGACTTCAATTGTATATACACATGTTAGTTTTATTGTCATAACATCTATTTTGCAAGAGAGAATATGGTCACTTCAGACGGTTTTATTTAGAAAGTGACTTGTAAAGTCAACACGCATTCACGTTAGGTGTCCCATGCGGGAACCGAACCCACAACCCTTGAAGTTGAAATAAACTCAGGCAGATACAGAGGCTGGTCATTTTTAAGGAGATTTAATGGAGACACTGGTTAACCTTACCCAGTGACGAATGAGTTAACATTAATTCCACAGCTCCCGTGTCACAGCTCGGACAAAAACAAAACAGAAAAGAGGAAGTATTTCAACATATAGCTGTTGCCAAACTGAGGTACATTATTTACATTCCAGAAAAATAAAAATAGTGCCAAACGTTTATATGAGGATGGGAGTGAATACTGGAGGCCTGAAAACAGCCATGGTTGAACTTTGAACTTTTGTGTCCCAGGAATGGCCGACCGCATCTGACTTGGCCCGTGGGCCCGGGTGGGCGGGACCAGATAGCGGGGGCCATTTCAGTAACATCCGAGAAGAGAACCGTTAAAAAATCATTAACAACTTCAAAGGAAAAATCACTAAATATTCATATACACCACGAAGGAAAATCTTCCCTATTTCTCTGTGAATACTTTTTTTGTAGCGAATTAATCAAAGTCCCATGATTCTTTGCAACATTCCCCCGTTTTGAAGCAGGGGTCTGCCGAAGTGCGTCGTCACGGCGCTGACCTCTTCCAGACCCTGCTCTCTGGGGTGGGTGACCCCATACAGCAGAGACTTGACCAGCTGAGTCCATACATTGCATTTATACTGTAACCACACGGAGGAACACTGATGAACAACGGCTTCAAATCATAGAATGAAAGTGTGTGTGCCTGTGTGTGTGTGTGTGTGTGTGTGTGTGTGTGTGTGTGTGTGTGTGTGTGTGTAGAGGCTGGTAAAGTAAGGGGAGAAATCTAAATCAGTTTGACAATGATAACGATAATACAGTCACTTGTTGTGCAATTAGCAACTAGTCATATCTGGCAGCTATATTCTCCTAGCAAGAGGAATTCTGGGTACTTTGTAACAGGGGGAGGGGGTCAGTTTTTGTTTTACTCCTCCACTTCTCTCCCTCCCTTGTATGAGTTTAAACTCCCATTTGGGAGGCATTTTCCAGAGCCACAAAGGCGATAATGTAATAGTGCATTCAGCAATAAAACAAGACCCAAACAAAATGTCAGACCAACGTTCCCGACAGCTCAAGACCACCTGTTACATCATCAATAATAATAATAATAATAATAATAATAATAATGATCCAAAGACACAGGAAATTATTGCCTAAAGCTATACATCGTTTTCAATACATACTTTGTAAGTGTCTTGGAGGAAATCCGTTGTGGATCTGCTACTTACGTTTTTTTTATAACGACTGTACAGCTCATTCAGATTTGACGTGACTCAAGTCCATTTCAAAACGCTTTCTTTCCCCGCGTTACGTTGCTTTAGTCAACTTCGAACCGCAATATTTTACCTGCGTGGTCAACACTTTTCCCCCCCTCATATCTCTAGGAGGACCTACAACTTCAGTTCGTTGGCAATTTTGGACGCTATGTTCTTGAAGGCGATGGACGTGCCCGAGATCCGCTTGAAGCGCACGCCGTTGAGCGAGAGGCGCGGCAGCTTGCACACCTCCATCTCCCACTGGACCAGGCTCTCGGCGTGGCCGTCGCCGTGCACGCACAGCAGCAGGAACCGCTCGCGCTGCTCATAGTCGCAGTTGTTGGCGTCCAGCACCTTGCGGATCTCGCGCATCATGTCGTGGGGCTCCATGGACGATGTGGTCTTCATGCTCCAGGTGAAGCGGAGGGAGCGCGGCTTGGTGTCCTTGGGGTTTTGGCCGTGAGGGGGCTGAGGATTCTGCTGGAGCTGCTGCTGGTCCTCCTTCTGATCACCTGACATGTTGCGACTGCCGGGAGGTGGGGGGGGAGAGAAGAGAAGATGAGAGTTAGTTAGAGATGTGGTAATGGGAGATGGAGGGTGAGTGTGAGTGGGGGATGGAGGGTGTGAGGGATGGAGGGTGAGTGGGGGTTGGAGGGTGGTTGGGTGGGGATGGAGGGTGAGTGTGAGATGGAGGATGAGTGTGGGTGGGGGATGGAAGGTAAGTGTGGATAGAGGGTGAGTGTGAATGGGGGATGGATGGTGAGTGAGGATAGAGGGTGAGTGTGGTGGGGGATGAAGGGTGCGTGTGCGATGGGGGTGCGTGTGGTCGCGGGTGATGTGGGTGGGGGTTGGGTGGGTGGGTGGGGTGTGGGGTGGATGTGGTGGGTGTGGGTGGAGGGTGGGGGCTGGCTGGGGTGGTGGGGTGGGGGTGGGGGTGCGTGTGCGTGGCGTGTGGGTGGGGGTGGGGGTGGGGGTGCGTGTGGGTGGTCTGGGGTTGGTGTAGGGTGGGGTTGCAGGGTGGTTGTGGGTGGGGCGTGGGGGGGACGTGTGGGTGGTGCGTGTGTGTGGGGGTGGGGGTGGATGGTGCGTGCGGCTGCGGGTGCGTGTGGTGGGGGCATGAGGGTGGTGTGCGCTGCGGGTGCGTGTGGCTGCGGGTGTGTGTGGTGCGGGTGGTGGGGTGGGGGCTGGCGGGTGCGTGGGTGGGGGTGGGGGTGCGTGGGAGTGGGTGTTGGGGTGGTGGGCGTGTGGTGGGGGCTGGCGGGTGGTGCGTGGGGGTGGCGGGTGCGTGTGGGGGTGGGCTGGTGTGGTGCGTGGCTGCGGGTGTGTGGTGGGGGTGCCGGGTGCGTGTGCCCTGGCGGTTGCCTGTGGGTGGGGGTTGGGGGTGGGGTGCGGGTGCGTGTGCGCTGGGTGTGGGTGGGGTGGGGGCTGGCGGTGCGTGTGGGTTGGTGGGTGGTGGGGGTGCGGGTGCGTGTGGGCTGGCGGGGCGTGTGCTGGGGGCTGGCGGCTGCGTGGTGGTGGGCGCTGGCGGGGGTGGGGGCTGTCGGGTGCGTGTGGCGCTCGCGGGTGCGTGTGGCTGGGGCTGGGGTGCGTGGGGTTGGGGGCTGCGGGTGCGTGCGGCTGGCGGTGGTGGGTTGGGGCTGGCGGGTGCGTGGGGCTGGGGGTCGTGTGGGTGGGGCTGGCGGTGCGTGTGCGTGTGTGTGTGGCTGGGGTGCGTGGCGGTGGGGCTGGCTGGTGCTGTGGTGGTGCTGGGGCTGCTGGTGCGTGCGGCTCGGGGTGCTGTGGTGGGCTGCGGGTGCGTGGGCTCGGTGCGTGTGCCTGCGGGTGGGTGGGGGCTGGGGTTCGTGTGCTGGGGCTGCGTGCGTTTGTGGGGCTGGCGGGTGCGTGTGCGTGGGGCGGCGGTGCTGTTGCTGGGGTGGGGGTCGTGTGCGTGGGTGCTGGCGGTGCGTGTGGTGTGGGGGTGGGTGTGTGGGTTGGTGGGGGTGGGGTGGTGTGGGTGGGGCTGGGGTGCGTGGTGTGGGGTGGGTGCTGGTGTGGTGGGGTCGGGGTCGGGCTGGCGGGGCGTGGGCTGGGGCTGCGGGTGGTGTGGGGGGGGCTTCGGGTCGTGGGCTGGGTGGGGGTGGGTCGGTGGTGGGGGCTGCGGGTGTGGTGGGTGGGGCGGTTTGCTGGTGGGGGCTGCGGGTGAGTGTGGTGGGGTGGGGTGGGTGTGGTGGGGGGTGCGGTGGTGTGGGGGTGGGGGTGGGGTGGGTGTGGGTGGGGTGCGGGGTTGGTGGGGTGGGGATGGGGTGAGTGTGGGTGGGGGATGAAGGGTGAGTGGGGGATGGAGAGTAAGTGTGAGTAGTTAGAGGAGTGAGTCACTGTCATTGCATCTACTTCAGTGAGTTTGACATGAACGCATCAGTGTGACTGAATATGTAACATGACCAAATGTGTGTACTGGGTCACCCTGTGTACTGGGTCACCCTGTGTACTGGGTCACCCTGTGTACTGGGTCTCCCTGTGTACTGGGTCTCCCTGTGTACTGGGTCACCCTGTTGTACTGGGTCTCCCTGTGTACTGGGTCACCCTGTGTACTGGGTCACCCTGTGTACTGGGTCACCCTGTGTACTGGGTCTCCCTGTGTACTGGGTCACCCTGTGTACTGGGTCACCCTGTGTACTGGGTCACCCTGTGTACTGGGTCACCCTGTGTACTGGGTCACCCTGTGTACTGGGTCTCCCTGTGTACTGGGTCACCCCTGTGTACTGGGTCACCCTGTTGTACTGGGTCACCCTGTGTACTGGGTCACCCTGTGTACTGGGTCACCCTGTGTACTGGGTCACCCTGTGTACTGGGTCACCCTGTGTACTGGGTCACCCTGTGTACTGGGTCACCCTGTGTACTGGGTCACCCTGTTCAGACATTTCATTGCGTCTGCCCATGAAGATCTTACAGGGTACAACATCGTAGAGACAACACAAGGAGTCAGTGCTGACAGATTCTCAAGTTATTTTAACATCATTGGTGCATTTACACCCCACTTCCATGCAGGGCCACACGTGTTCTTTCAACAGGCAGTCATGCAGCGGAAACACAAAACAATGCAATTTCACATTACATATAGTGACAGGCACAAGACAACGCAGACTTCAGTTCTGCATGCAGGCAAGGCAGACCATAATTACATTCGCAACTACTCAAAACAATTACAACACATGGGAAAGAGCAACCAGAGCAGCACTACATGGGCAAGGTAATGCCATGGACTAAAATTATAATCTGTTGCCATTACCGAGTTTCATCACTAGATGTCAGTGAGAAAAAGGAGTCAAAAATGTATGGAGAGTCAGAGTTGTCCTCTGCTGGACTACTATCCACACTGCAGGTGAGAGAGTCTAATAATTGTCCTATGGAAGTACACTACCGGTCAAAAGTTTTAGAACACCTACTCATTCAAGGGTTTTTCTATATTTTTACTATTTTCTACATTGTAGTGAAGACATCAAAACTATTAAATAACACATATGGAATCGTGTAGTAACCAAAAAAAGTGTTAAACAAATCTAAATATATTTCCCTTTGCCTTGATGACAGCTTTGCACACTCTTAGCATTCTCTCAACCAGCTTCACCTGGAATGCTTTTCCAACAGTCTTGAAGGAGTTCCCACATATGCTGAGCACTTGTTGACTGCTTTTCCTTCACTCTGCCGTCCGACTCATCCCAAACCATCTCAATTTGGTTGAGGTTGGGGGATTGTGGAGGCCAGGTCATCTGATGCAGCACTCCATCACTCTCCTTCTTGGTAAAATAGCCCTTACACAGCCTGTCGTTTCTCTTTGCTTATTTGAGCTGTTCTTGCCATAATATGGACTTGGTCTTTTACCAAATAGGGCTATCTTCTGCATAGGTAGGGGGGCTACCTTGTCACAACACAACTGATTGGCTCAAACGCATTAAGAAGGAAAGCAATTCCACAAATTAACTTTTAACAAGGCACACCTGTTAATTGAAATGCATTCCAGGTGACTACCTCATCAAGCTAGTTGAGAGAATGCCAAGAGTGTGCAAATCTGTCATCAAGGCAAAGGGTGGCTATTTGAAGAATCTCAAATATAAAATATATTTTGATTTGTTTAACACTTTTTGGGTTACCACATGATTCCATATGAGATGGAGGTGGAAGAAAACACACTGATTACTTAAGTATCCCATCTCACCTAGAGCCCTCCAACCTCCCGTTTCTCTCAAACTCTGCCGGGCCTCTTAGATACGGGGGGCGGCATGATAGAACAGAGAGAAGAAGAGAAGAATGGGAGAGAGAGAGAACAATCAGATCTTACATTTCAGTTAAAAAGGGGAGCGGATCAAAAGTACTGATACAGAAGGTGGGGGAAAAGCTTTTTAATTTGAGATATTAAGAAAGGAGAGCGAGAGAGAGGAAAACAGACGGGAAAAGACCCCGTATTGACAGGAAGGCAGTGTTAACCTGTATCTACACCAGGACCATTCCTATTGACAGGAAGGTTAACCTGTATCTACACCAGTACCATTCCTATTGACAGGAAGGTTAACCTGTATCTACACCAGTACCATTCCTATTGACAGGAAGGTTAACCTGTATCTACACCAGTACCATTCCTATTGACAGGAATGTTAACCTGTATCTACACTAGGACCATTCTTATTGACAGGAAGGTTAACCTGTATCTACACCAGGACCATTCTTATTGACAGGAAAGTTAACCTGTATCTACACCAGGACCATTCCTATTGACAGGAAGGTTAACCTGTATCTACACCAGGACCATTCCTATTGACAGGAAGGTTAACCTGTATCTACACCAGGACCATTCCTATTGACAGGAAGGTTAACCTGTATCTACACCAGGACCATTCCTATTGACAGGAAGGCAGTGTTAACCTGTATCTACACCAGGACCATTCCTATTGACAGGAAGGTTAACCTGTATCTACACCAGTACCATTCCTATTGACAGGAAGGTTAACCTGTATCTACACCAGTACCATTCCTATTGACAGGAAGGTTAACCTGTATCTACACCAGGACCATTCCTATTGACAGGAAGGTTAACCTGTATCTACACCAGTACCATTCCTATTGACAGGAAGGTTAACCTGTATCTACACCAGGACCATTCCTATTGACAGGAAGGTTAACCTGTATCTACACCAGGACCATTCCTATTGACAGGAAGGTTAACCTGTATCTACACCAGGACCATTCCTATTGACAGGAAGGTTAACCTGTATCTACACCAGGACCATTCCTATTGACAGGAAGGTTAACCTGTATCTACACCAGGACCATTCCTATTGACAGGAAGGTTAACCTGTATCTACCCCAGGACCATTCCTATTGACAGGAAGGTTAACCTGTATCTACACCAGGACCATTCCTATTGACAGGAAGGTTAACCTGTATCTACACCAGTACCATTCCTATTGACAGGAATGTTAACCTGTATCTACACCAGGACCATTCCTATTGACAGGAAGGTTAACCTGTATCTACACCAGGACCATTCCTATTGACAGGAAGGTTAACCTGTATCTACACCAGGACCATTCCTATTGACAGGAAGGTTAACCTGTATCTACACCAGTACCATTCCTATTGACAGGAAGGTTAACCTGTATCTACACCAGGACCATTCCTATTGACAGGTCTGGTGGCCGGAAATGTCCCACCACCAGTAGAACTATAGGACTAACAGCAGAGAAGTTCTATAAGGTGTGATGAAACAAAGGATCCCCGTCAGATGCTGTGGGTCAGTGTTGAACTTCCTGTTGGCATGCAGCTCCAGCCAGATGCATTACCATGTACATTCTTGGTCCTTTTATCGAGGAGTTTGGTCGAGGTGTGCAGGCAGCAGTATGTGTGTTGAGATGAGAAGATGCAAGGCATATTAAGATAAATAGAAACTACTTGAAGGCATATTCACACAATCAAGTGCAGCTCTACGTAGACCCACACACACGCCAAACCCTCTCACAAAGACACATACACACATGAAACAAACACATCTAAGAGGATTCAGTCGGAGTCATGCGGATGGAGAGTGCTGGACCTAGTTGGCTGTGAGAGAAAAGACAAGGAGAGAGAGAGAAAGAGAGATATAGGAGGGTTTGTTTGATGCTTAGACAGAAGGAGCCCTATCTCTGTGTAAAGATGACATCACGCTGCTTTCTTAGGGAGTGCCACTTCCTCCCGATTTGGCCCAACGGCACGAACTCGTGACCTCTGCCTTTCTAGCACACGTGACCGCCCTCCTGAGGAGTCTTACCAGTCGGCGGCACGTGAAAAGCTAGCTATTTGCTAGGGGTAAGTGGGTACACTTCAGGCTGAGGAGTACGTTTCAAACGTCCCCATGTGCTACATATGGGCTGGATGGACTGGAGTCCCCCTGAACAGTATAATATAAAAGTGAGTGGGCAAATGCAAAGCAAGTCACACGCCCAAAGAGCCTCTCGCCAGTTCTATCCTCTACCAGTTATAGGATAGGGGCTGGGCTATCATCTACTAGTTCTAGGATAGGGGCTGGGCTATCATCTACTAGTTCTAGGATAGGGGCTGGGCTATCATCTACTAGTTCTAGGACCGGGGCTGGGCTATCATCTACTAGTTCTAGGATTGGGACTGGGCTATCATATACTAGTTCTAGGATTGGGACTGGGCTATCATCTACTAGTTCTAGGATTGGGGCTGGGCTATCATATACTAGTTCTAGGATTGGGACTGGGCTATCATCGACCAGTTCTAGGATAGGGGCTGGGCTATCATCTACTAGTTCTAGGATTGGGCTATCATCTACTAGTTCTAGGATTGGGACTGGGCTATCATCTACTAGTTCTAGGATTGGGCTATCATCTACTAGTTCTAGGATTGGGACTGGGCTATCATCTACTAGTTCTAGGATTGGGCTATCATTACTAGTTCTAGGATTGGGACTGGGCTATCATCTACTAGTTCTAGGATGGGACTGGGCTATCATTACTAGTTCTAGGATTGGGACTGGGCTATCATCTACTAGTTCTAGGATAGGGGCTGGGCTATCATCTACTAGTTCTAGGATTGGGACTGGGCTATCATCTACTAGTTCTAGGATGGGACTGGGCTATCATATACTAGTTCTAGGATTGGGACTGGGCTATCATCTACAGTTCTAGGACTTGGGCTGGCTATCATCACAGTTCTAGGATAGGGGCTGGGCTATCATCTACAGTTCTAGGATTGGGACTGGGCTATCATCTACTAGTTCTAGGATGGGTGGGCTATCATCTACTAGTTCTAGGATGGGGCTGGGCTATCATCTACCAGTTCTAGGATGGGGCTGGCATCATCTACTAGTTCTAGGATTGGGACTGGGCTATCATCTACAGTTTCTAGGATGGGCTGGATCATCTACTAGTTCTAGGATAGGGGCTGGGCTATCATCTACTAGTTCTAGGATAGGGGCTGGGCTATCATCTACTAGTTCTAGGATTGGGCTATCATCTACTAGTTCTAGGATTGGGACTGGGCTATCATCTACTAGTTCTAGGATTGGGACTGGGCTATCATCTACTAGTTCTAGGATTGGGACTGGGCTATCATCTACTAGTTCTAGGATTGGGACTGGGCTATCATCTACTAGTTCTAGGATTGGGACTGGGCTATCATCTACTAGTTCTAGGATTGGGACTGGGCTATCATATACTAGTTCTAGGATTGGGACTGGGCTATCATCTACTAGTTCTAGGATTGGGACTGGGCTATCATCTACTAGTTCTAGGATAGGGGCTGGGCTATCATCTAGCAAGTCAAGGAGAAATCAAGGAACAAGTTCCTTAGCCAGGTGGATAAGGGCTGGGCCACTAGCTAGCAAATCAAGGAGAAATTGAAGGACAAGTTCCATAGCTGGGCAATGATAGCTTTCAGGGACACCAATGCGAGGAGAGAGAGGATGATGGGGAGGAATTCTCTACAGCCAGGGGGATTCGGTACCTGAACTCCGTCCTGCAACGAACCACCTCTCAATCATCATCTCGAACGGCAGCCACATTTAGAGCCCAGTAGGGTACCCTAAATTACACAACCAATAAGTTTGTTACCTTGTCCAAGGATAAAAAGTGAAGAAGAGCTCTCTGAAATTAAAGATACAGTGGGTCCCTTGTGTCCGAGATGAAAGAAGGGTAAAAAAGGCTAGCCCATAAAACGCTTCTACTAAAGAGTGCTGTTTTCAGTATAAATAATGTACTACACCTTTATTGCAAATGAAAAAATACCTTTTTTTTTTTTGTAAAAATGTATTTCCATTGGGCTTAGACTGACCCTTGGGGTACCCCTAAAGTCATTGATCCATAAAGTGTGGTAAAATCTTCATACGAATAATAAAAGCCTTGTCACCAAAAGTGAGGGTTCCTGACTGAATACCATCATGCTAGCTGCTGCAAAACTAGCAAATGGCTGCCACCAACCTTTTACCAACTTGTATACATTTTATGTACAGTCGTAAAGGCATTGTATGGTACAGTAGTTGTGCAGACATATGCACATGTAAAACCAACACAAGACTTACCGTCAACAATAAAAATAAACATTTGTCAAGCTTTTCCATTAGTGATTGTGCAAGGACCAGCTCAGTAGAGAGCCATGCATGGGTGATTAGTAGAGTCTGTTGTCTAGTTCAACTCAAAGAAGAAAGCATAAAGGTCTTAGACATGCTCAATTGTACTGTGATTAGGGCTCATGGAGCCAAGAGGTCAGTCAGGTTCAAGCATTTTAATCAGGCTCTTTGTCCACACAGGGTTAAAAAGTTAATTACACAGTTGACCAATTAGTTAAGTTTTTCTGATTAATTGCACACCGAGCCAATTGGTGGGGTCGTCCTACCTTTTGGTAAACCAGAATGATTTGTTTCTATAAAAAAAAGAAAAAAATGTAACAAGTCAAAAGTTGTACTAAGAATTCTTTATATTTTTAAAGAATCAAATTAGAAAATCGTTTCAATACTTTGGGCAGCATAATAAGGATCAGTAGATGGTTCAACGAACGGTTTCAACAACATCTCTCGTCTGAGCCTGGCTGCTAGCATCTGTTACTGGCAGATTACAGACAGCTTGGACAATGGGTAATAGCGGCTTCCCTAGGATAGAGTATTATTATAGAGCTAAGGTGTTCAAATCTGCTCCAAGAAAAACCTGAACAGCAGCTATGAAAGGATAAAGTTGTGAAAAAAAGCATTCAATGAATGTATTAAAGAATAGTTGAATGTTATGTTACTTTTCAGATTAAAGTTGAGGTTCTTTATTAGTCTAATGAATAAAAGTCCCAAAAAGTAATGAAGCCATTTTGCATATGACAGAGCGTCGTGACATAATCAAAATATAATTCTGGCTAAAATGTAGAACAACCTGGAGCTAAGATTGATTCTGAGAGAGGAGACTATTCTTACTTATCAAAAGAATTTCAGGCTATGACTATCTGTCGGACAGAATGATATTCCCCCAAAAACTGAGATGCTGCCTTTATTCATTCTAATTCTGGTACAAATGAAAAGCAGCATTGTTAGGTTTTGTCTGGGGGGGGGGGGAATGTATATACAATGTGTAGGAGGACTACAAAGAGAAGTGAGAGATATTAAACATATTGACATTAATGGGTTAAAGCAGAGCAGGTCCATTTAGTGACACTAAATCCAAGGGTAGACCTTTGAGGGAATGGCGGGACTGCACTGAACTGAGACTGTACGGTACTGGAAAGGGGTTTCTGAGGTGACAGAAAAACAACTTGAATTCAACTCAGCGAGTCATAAATTATGACTGGGCGATATCTACAATAATCTATCACATTTTATCAAGACTAATTATTACGATGAAGATGTGAAGGATGATATTATATCCACATAAATAGAGCTCGCCAGGTTGTAGTCCAAAAAACCGGAAATGAGTTACCTCTGGTTCATTCAGTCATTCCTATGGGGAAAATGAATGGGGAAAGAATAGGATTTTGGGATAAATGCCGAAAATAAGGTCTGTTACAGGCATAGGAGATCTTATACGTTTTTATTTTTACTTTTACCCCTTTTTCTCCCCAATTTCGTGATATCCAATTGGTAGTTACAGTCTTGTCCCATCGCTGCAACTCCCCTACGGACTTGGGAGAGGCAAAGGTCAAGAGCCATGCGTCCTCCAAAACATGACCCTGCCAAGCCACACTGCTTCTTGACCCGGAAGCCAGCCACACCAATGTGTTGGAGGAAACACCGTCCAACTGGCGACCAAAGTCAGCTTGTAGGCGCCCGGCCCGCCACAAGGAGTTGCTAGAGTGCGATGGGACATGGAAATCCCGGCCGGCCAAACCCTTCCCAAACCCGGACGACGCTGGGCCAATTGTGCTCCGCCTCATGGGTCTCCCGGTCACGGCCGGCTGCAACACAGCCTGGGATCGAATCCGGGGCCGTAGTGAAGCCTCAAGCACAGTGATGCAGTGACTTAGACTGCTGAACCACTCGGGAGGCCGATCTTATACGTTTTGTTTTATGAGATAACATCAGTCAGTTAAACATGACCTTTATGTATTATGAAGCCTTAAATGTGCTTTATGTGCTTTTTATGATTACATAAATGCTTCAAAATTCACAAAAAGTGATGTTAGCTGATAAAGATTATCTCATAGAACAAAACTTATAAGATCTCCTAAGCCTGTGTTTACCACAGACCAAATTTTCAGCGTTTATCCAAAAACCCTAAAAAAAAAAACAAACCATGGCAGAGTTGACACCATTACTATTAGAGAATGATGAGTGAAATAGGGTATGGATACATTTCTATTAGACAGGCTGGTGATCAGACCTAACAACAGATTATTTTGAATTCCTCAAACCCCAGTGCTGAAAACTGCATTCCGTGGTTTGTTCCGATTGTTTCGGGGATAACGTGTTAGGCTTTGGCTTACCTGCGAGTGAGCTTGGAGGTGAGCTTGGTGAAGAGGTTGGTGGTGCCGCGGCTCCGGGACTGCGAGAGGGGAGTGGCGTCATGTGAGAGTGTGGGTGAAGCCGGCGGGCCGTTGTAGGTGGCCGTGCGGCGCTCCCGCAGCTGGCCGCCGTGGAAGGTGCTGCGGCTGGCCGTGCCGCGGGGGAAACGCAGCCGGTCGGGGGGCGTGGCGCTGCTGCTGATGCTGTGGGTGGAGGCGCCACCAGGGTTTCGCTGGCCAGACGTCGTCGTCGTGCTGGGGAGGAAACGGGGGGTGGAGGAAGGGGAACATAAGAGTCAAGACCACACATTTTAGCCTGGGTCACGGTCTGTTTTCTGCGCTAGCCAAAGAGATGGCTACAAAAAAAGACCAGGTTCCAGGTTATTCACATTCAAAAGAGGGGATACCATCAACCTGTCTTGTGAACGAGCACTAAAACTACCTGAACCAATACCATTTCACATCTCTTACCTGAAAGAGCAGCGGATGTCAACTCTGATGGTTTTGGGTTAGCTATTATTAACCACATCATGATGAAACACTTGTTTTTATTCTTTAGTTGACTACAGAGTTAAAGGGAACCTAAACAGAGCCTTTAAGACATTCGAGCCAATGAAATTAATGCGGCTACTCATCTTTGATACATTAGGGATTTTGTTTGTCAGGTGAGATTTGACTAGCACTACTTTGGACCAAAGACATTGGGGTAATTAGTGGGAAGAGAGAGGACGCAATCCTTCTCCGTGTTAAGACACAAACCTTTACCAGAGGTACCAGCCATTGGTGGAGATGCTTTGGGTGGTGGAGCTAACGGAATGAGAAGAGGGCAGATACACGGGATGAGTGTTGGGGAGGGAAATGTTACGATTGGTCAGAGGGCGTTAGAGAGAAAGAGTGCGGACAGAGAGGGGGATGGAAAATGAGGTCGGAGACGAGCAGACAGACATAACGTGGCCCCTGGGAAGAGGAGGCCCCCTGGTCGAACCCCTGGGAGGTGGGGTGGGAAGCCCCTTACTTAGGCCTGAAGAAGTCGCCATCGGTAGGCGGCAGCGTTTGGCGGCAGGTGTGGCCTGAAGCCGACAGGGACGCTGCCTTCTGGTGGCGCAGACGGACCGAGGCGGAGGAGACGGTGAGGGCCTTGGCGTAGGCAGAGGGGTTAGTGGCACAGGCTGCCGACATTTCACTCATGCTGCCCCCCAGAGGACAGGAGGTGAAGTGCAGGGAAAAAGGCCACGGGGCCAGAGCAAAAAAAGGTGGGTTTTAATAAAGCATTGAGGGCATAAGTCAAACTTCATAAGATAAAGGTAGAGGACAGAACAGGAAGGTATGCTTTCTGTCCAGGCTCTCTTGAATGAATGTACTGTAGCAGCAGTGTGGTAATGGTTGTTGGACAAGCAGAAGTTGAAGGGAGCATTCTTTGCAGTGGTGACTGTCTCTGTATTGGGTTGCACTGGATGGTCAAAGGGCGTGGATTGTGGACTGCATATGAGTGTCTATCAATCTGCTGTGTCGCCCTCAGTCCTACATATCGGTTATATTTACACTATGGCCAGAAACAAAGAACTTCCTTCTGAAACTCGTCAGTCTATTCCATGCGAGAAATTGCCAAGAAACTGAAGATCTCGTACAACGCTGTGTACTGCTCCCTTCACAGAACAGCGCAAACTGGCTCTAACCAGAATAGAAAGAGGAGTGGGAGGCCCTGGTGCACAACTGAGCAAGAGGACAAATACATTAGAGTGTCTAGTTTGAGAAACAGGCGCCTCACAGGTCCTCAACTGGCAGCTACATTAAATAGTACCCGCAAAACACCAGTCTCAACGTCAACAGTGAAGAGGCGACTCCGGGATACTGACCTTCTAGGCAGAGTTGCAAAGAAAAAGCCATATCAGACTGGCCAATAAAAAGAAAAGATTAAGATGGGCAGTCTGAGATATGGCTTTTTCTTTGCAACTCTGCCTAGAAGGTCAGTATCCCAGAGTCGCCTCTTCACTGTTGACGTTGAGACTGGTGTTTTTTGCGGGTACTATTTAATGAAGCTGCCAATTTCAGAAGAAAGTTATTTGTTTCTGGACATTTTGAGCCTGTAATCAAACCCACAATTGCTGATGCTCCAGATACTCAACTAGTCTCAAGAAGGCCAGTTTTATTGCTTCTTTAATCAGCACAACAGTTTTCAGCTGTGCTAACATAATTGCAAAAGGGTTTTCTAATGATCAATTAGCCTTTTAAAATTACAAACTTGGATTAGCAAACACAACGTGCCATTGGAAGACAGGACTGATGGTTGCTGATAATGGGCCTCTGTACGCCTATGTAGATATTCCATTACAAATCAGCCGTTTCCAGCTACAATAGCCATTTACAATATTAACAATGTATACACTGTATTTCTGATCAATTTGATGTTATTTTAATGGACAAAAAAATGGTTTTTCTTTCGAAAACAAGGACATATCTAAGTGACCCCACGGTAGTGTATAATTGAGGGGAATTGGATCAGCAGTATGAAAAATGTATGCACTCACTAAATGTAAGTCGCTCTGGATAAGAGCGTCTGCTAAAATGAAAAAAAAAAAAAGTCCTTTGTGAATGCCGTGAATGACTCATTGGCGATATGAATGACTCATTCAAAAACTCATCTTGCTGACAAATCTGAGCACTCAACTTTAATTGCCATGGTAACACAAGTAATCTTGTAAAACAAAATGAGCGTTTGTTAGTGTACTAGTTTAACTACCTCCCTGTTTAACTACATCGTATTCTGTTTGGTGCCTAATGAACACAACTCAGAGAGAGAGAGAGAGATGAAAGGCTTTGACCGCTGCTGACCGACCGAGGTCAAAGAACGGTCAAAAGCCTACGTCTCAGTTTTAAACCCTCTCGGAACCATATGTATAGATTCAAACACATACTGAACACCAACATTCCAAGTAGTTTTCATCCTCAAGATTCTCTTGGCATAGTCTATTTTATTTGTTATCAGAACACTTCAACAAGTAAACTGCCTTTACTCTCTGTTCTATTGGCAAACCTGCAATCACTGGAGAGTAAACTGGACAAGCTTCATTCGAGACTATCCTATCAACGTGACCTGAAGAACTGTAATATCATATCCTATTATTAGTCGTGGCTGAACAATGACATGGAAAATATAAAACTTGCTTTTTTGTGTCTTAACAACAGTTGGTGCGCGATCTCTAACATTAAGGACGTTTCAAGGTTCTGCTAGCCTGAGTTTGAATACCTCATAATAAGCTGTAGACCATACTATACTGAACAAAAATATAAACACAACGTGTAAAGTGTTGGTTTCATGGTTCATGAGCTGAAATAAAAGGCTTGCTAACTATCATGGATTACAAAGGGAAACCCAGCCGCAAGCTGCCCAGTGACGCGAGCCTACCAGACGAGCTAAATGCCTTCTATGCTCACTTCGGGGCTAGCAACACTGAACCATGCTTGAGCGCACCAGCTTTTCCGGAAGACTGTGTGATCACGCTCTCCTTGGCCATTCACAAGGCCGCAGGGCCAGATGGATTACCAGGACGCGTACTCAGAGCATGCGCTGACCAACTGGCAAGTGTCTTCACTGGCATGTTCAACCTCTCCCTGACCCAGTCTGTAATACTCACATGTTTCAAGCAGACCACCATAGTCCCTGTGCCCAAGAACGCCAAGGTAACCTGCCTAAATGACTATCGCCCCGTAGCACTCACATCTGTGGCTATGAAATGCTTTGAAAGGCTGGTCATGGCTCACATCAACACCATCATCCCAGACACACTGGACCCACATAGGGCGGCGCACAATTGGCCCAGTGTCGTCCGGGTTAGGGGAGGGTTTGTAAATAATAATTTGTTCTTAACTGACTTGCCTAGTTAAATAAAGGTTAAATAAAATAAAAAATAAAATAAATAGGTTGTGCCCTTCAAAATGTGTTTTTTATCTAACATATGCATTTGTAAGAAGAGAGAGTGTGTGAGACGAAGACAACAAATGTGTTGTGTGTGTGTGTGTGTGTGTGTGTGTGTGTGTGTGTGTGTGTGTGTGTATGCACCTGGATCTGTGTGCCTGTGTTTGGAAGGCCAGGAGGGACAATGGGACAGATAGAGCCTTGGCACCTCATAGCTCTCACCTGTTTTCTTTTCCGTTCTGGATGACAGAGTGGCGTTCCGAGGCATTCCTCTCGCTGCACACATACGTGTTCCTCCTCCTCATGCCCCCTGACGTGGAGTTAGTCTGGAGGGAGAGACAAAGAGGGTGGGGAAAGGAATGAAAGAGGGTTAGGGAAGGAGGGGCAGAGAGAGAGGGAGAGAGAGTGAAAGAGAGAGAAAGGAATGAATAACTGCTACCCTGTCAACGATAGTGACAGACAGCTAGTGAAGACCGAGACAGAGAGAAACAGAAAGACATAAATAAACAGAAGAAAGAAACGATGAGAGAAGATACTGCACTAAACACAGTACAAATGCTGTAAACACTACATTGATCATCAAGCCCAAACAACGCTACCCTGTGAGTGAGTGTGTGGTCGAATATCCATACTTGCATTCAAAATAATACGCTGATTGGGTATGTGAAATTTGGAAAATGTAGTATGCTTTAAATGCCAGGATGTCGTACTCATTTTAGCTTTTCAAATAGTAGAATTCGCTGCACACTATTGAGGAAGAGAAGCGTCTTTTCCACGTGTGTTTGACAACAGCTGATAATCAGACAAGGGGATGCGCTACCAAAACAAACGAATGTCGGGAAACAACGCAATTGCGCATTAGATGACGTATTCTCAGTGTGGGTGAGCCTATTATGTGGATATTTGTTACTTACTGCATACATTTTTACTAAACAGTACGTTCTACATAGTATGTAGTATGATTAGTACACAGTGTATAGTTTTAGTAAGTAGAAAGCAAGACAGATTTCAGACACAGCCATCGACATCAAGCCCACAAAACTCTACCCTGTGAGTGACAGAGTGAGTTTGTGAGTGTGTGTGAGTGAGTGGTTGGTGTGTGCATGCGTGTGTATATATATATTCCGTGTACTCACACTGGGTGTGGTGGAGCCCTTCTTGCGGTCGGGGATGTCGGCCTTGTTGGGGTTGTTGGCGTTACCCAATAGGGGACTAGCAGGGGCACCGCCGCCACCGTGCTCGCCCGATGAAACAGACTTCCGTGGTTGGGCACCCCCGTCCTCTTTGTGGTCGCCGTTGTCAGCCGTGGTGGTCTGGCTCCTCTTGGGGTAGCCCACCGAGGGAATGGACGGACCGGCTGGATGGATGGAGGGAGGGACACACAGGGATGAGTGTGGAGTTACAATGGGAACTGTGGTGCATTGGAGGTTCACATCTCTCTTCCTATATTAACCCTAATCCCCTTTTCCCTCCTTCATGCCCCCCTTACTCCTCCTCCTCTCTGTCTCCCCTCCTCCTCAGTGTCTCCCCTCCTCTTTCTCCCGTCTCCCCTCCTCCTCCTCCTCTGTCTCCCCTCCTCCTCCTCCTCTCCGTCTCCCCTCCTCCTCCTCTCTGTCTCCCCTCAGTGTCTCCCCTCCTCCTCCTCCTCCTGTCTCCCCCTCTGTCTCCCCTCCTCCTACCCCTCAGTCTCTCCTCCTCTTTCTCCCGTCTCCCCTCCTCCTCCGTGTCTCCCCTCCTCCTCCTACTCCTCCCCTTTCTCCCCTGTCTCCCCTCCTACTCCTACTCCTCAGTGTCTCTCCTCCTCTTTCTCCCCTCCTCCTCTGTGTCCTCCTCCCCTGCGTCTCCCCTCCTTCTCCTGTGTCCCTTATCTTCCCCTTTCATGTGTTCTTCTTCCCTCGCCCCCCTTCCTCCCTCTCTCTCACCCTGGTCACTGTAGCGTCTCTGTTTCTGGGTGCCGGAGATGGACCGCTGGGCCTTGAGGTGGGACGGAGACTGGCCGTTGTTGTTGTGTTCGCTGGCGGGCCGCGCCTTCGCCAGAGACAGGTTACTGCTAGAGCTTGAGTCACTGGCATCCAACTGGGAGAGAGAAGAAAAGTTTAAAATTAAAATCACACTGCAGATTAGAATGAGTTTTATTTTTTGCGCAGATCTGTCCTCTTTTGTGACAAAGTCACTCAGTGGGTGTTTCTCAATATGCATACTACCGTGCTTCAAACTCTCATGCTCCGAGTTCATTCTCTGAGGACGTTCTTGTGTATGGAGAATGCATAATAATTTACATGAGAAGCAAGCTAGTTTTATATGTACAAAACGACCTAAAACTAATGTTGTTATGCAAGGTAGATTGGCCAATGTTAGCTACGAAATCTTTATGGGTAGCTAGCTAGCTACTAATTCTTTGTCACGCACACTACAGTGGGTATTGTGGGCAGGTAAACATTCCAAAATGAACATAGTATGTATTTATTACCGTACCAAGATAAAATATTCTAGTCAGGCAACACTATGAGATGTAAATTGCAACAGTTCATTCCGAAGTCAGAGTACATTTTTTTCTTGCTTCAGCTCTAAAACGTCCGCCATTGTTTAAGATATTTTTCATCATTTTTTACATGGTTGCGTCATATTACATCAACAATCCTGGGAATTTAGTTGAAGCTTGCATCGATGCATGCTTTCGAAATGTGTACAGACAGAGTACGTGTTACATACTCTGTTTTGCATACTTTGATTTGGACTCATACTCCGACCATTGCATGCTCCAGTTTGCGTACTCGAAGCACGGTAGTATGCATATTGAGAAACACCCACTGAGTAACTTTTCGTCACAAAAGAGCACAGATTGTATTGTGGTATGTAGTACACTTATTGAGAAACACCCATTGTGTTGGATGGAAAAATTGTGAAAAATGCACTACATTTTTCTTGAATCTTCAACATAGTAATGCTACCAAAAATCATTTACAGAAACTCGTTACAAATGACAGAGTCATCCATGATTCACCAAATTATATTTTAAGCATATGTTTTCTTTTCAGTCTCCTCCATCTCCACTGAATGATGTTAACTGTAAGGATTTCTTTCCTAATAATAATAATAATGTAAAGTTAACAAATGTACAGAAAGACCTGTGTGAAGGCCAACTTACAGAGGAACTTCTTGAGGCAATTAAAATCCTTTCAGTCTGTAAAAACACCAGGTCTTGATGGTATACCAGTAGAGGTATATCAGACCTTTTGTACTCAAAGATCCATTATTTGTACTCAAAGATCCATTATTAGCATGTTTTAACTACTCCTATAAAAATGGTAGATTTTCAGGTACTCAACAAGAGGGTCTGATTTCATTACTACTGAAACAGGACCCAGGTGGTAAATATAATGAACCAGTTCATTTAAAAAACTGGAGGCCTCTTACACTTCAATTTGTGATGCGAAAATCCTGGTGAAATGCATAGGACATAGAATAAAAAAGGGTTTACCAGATATTGTTAATCCTGATCAGACAGGTTTTTTACATGGACGATATATTGGAGATAATATGCGACAATTAAACAAAGATACCAGGCCTGGTCTTCATAGCAGATTTTGAAAAGGCGTTTGATAAAGTACGACTACAATTTATACATAAATGCCTGGACTAATTTAATTTTGGCGAATCTCTTATACAATGGGTTAAAGTTATGTACAGTAACACCAGGTGTAAAATAGTAAATAATGGTTACTTCTCAGAAACTATTGAGCTTTTAAGAGGAGTAAAACAAGGCTGTCCGTTGTCTCCATATCTATTTATTATGGCCATTGAAATGCTAGCTATTAAAATCAGATCCAACAAGAACATCAATGGGTTAGAAATCCAGCGGTTAAAAACAAAAGTGTCAATGTATGCCGATGACTCCACAATCTGGATCCCTGAACGGTCTCATTGAAGACCTTGATCACTTTTCTAGCCTCTCCGGACTAAAACCTAATTATGACAAGTGTACCATATTACGTATTGGACCTTTAAAAGACAGTGTTTACCTTGTAGTTTACCAATAAAATGGGCGGATGGTGAAGAAGACATACAACTTCTCATTTCCGACTAATTTTCAATGTACCGATTCCATGGCACATGGTACAGTGAGGGAAAAAAGTATGTCTCTCACTGTTCAAATAAACCTACCATTAAAATTATATACTGATCATTTCTTTGTCAGTGGGCAAACGTACAGAATCAGCAGGGGATCAAATAATTTTTCCCCCCTCACTGTATATGAACTGATACAAAAAAACAACAACACTTGATTCAACACAGAGTTTTTCAATTTAAATTACTATACAAAATTCTTGCCACCAACAGAATGCTATAAATATTGGGCATACAACAACCTCAGCTCTGTAGATTTTGCTGCGAAGAGACAGAATCACTAGATCATTTATTCTGGTATTGCCCCTATGTACCTTTTTTTTTGTAGCTTGTTTCTGGTCACAGGTTCAGGAATGGTAAAAAAAAAAAAATGACAACATTCACTTAAAATGTACCTTACAAATAGCAGTGTTGGGCGATTTGGAAAGCCATAGTCAATCAATCAATAATATAATAATACTCGTAGGAAAGGTTTTCATCTTTAGCTCACAATCGATTACAAAGGTTCAAAATTCATGTAAAACATCACAGCACAGGGCGGTCTAAGATGATAGTCAGGAAGGGCTAAGAGTGAATGAGGGGTGGGATTAAGAGCTCATGTTCGGTAATGTATTGTTATGTGATGTAAAGTGTGATGTGTAAAATGTATGTAGCAAAAAAGCTGTAAAAACAGAAAAATATATTTGTGTCCTCTGAAGAGGATGGGTTAATAATATATATACAGTACCAGTCAAAAGTTTGGACACACCTACTCATTCCAGGGTTTTTCTTTATTTTTTTACTATTTTCTACATTGTAGAATAATAGTGAAGACATCAAAACTATGAAATAACACATATGGAATCACGTAGTAACCAAAAAAGTGTTCAATCAAAATATATTTTATATTTGAGATTCTTCAAATAGCCACCCTTTGCCTTGATGACAGCTTTGCACACTCTTGGCATTCTCTCAACCAACTTGAGGTACTCACCTGAAATTCATTTCAATTAACTGGTGACACTGTCTGTGATTTATTTACAATTCAAGGCACACTTAACCAGCATGGCTACCACAGCATTCTGTAGCGATATGCCATTCCATATGGTTTGTGCTTAGTGGGACTATCATTTGTTTTTCAACAGGACAATGACCCAACACATCTCCAGGCTGTGTAAGGGCTATTTGACCAAGAAGGAGAGTGATGGAGTGCTGCTTCAGATTACCTGGCCTCCACAATCACCCGACCTCAACCCAATTGAGATGGTTTGGGATGAGTTGGACCGGCAGAGGGAAGGAAAAGCACTCAGCATTTGTGGGAACTCCTTCAAGACTGTTGGAAAAGCATTCCAGGTGAAGCTGGTTGAGATAATGCCAAGAGTGTGCAAAGCTGTCATCAAGGCAAAGGGTGGCTACTTTGAAGAATCTCAAATATAAAATATATTTAGATTTGTTTAACACTTTTTTGGTTACTACATGATTCCATATGTGTTATTTCATAGTTTTGATGTCTTCACTATTATTCTACAATGTAGAACATAGTAAAAATAAAGAAAAACCCTTGAATGAGTAGGTGTGTCCAAACTTTTCACTGATACTGTATACATATATATTTCACCTTTTGGTAAAAAAAATAAAAAAGTGACATTTTGACAGCGCAAAAAAAAGTGACATCGTCATCCAAACAGACTGTATCACTTCAGGTACAGCATTTTGCACATCATTGCACTTGTGCACTTGCTAAAAATGTCAGACAGAAACCAAGACCAAGAACTAATACATGTTAAGAGCCAGTGCTTTCGAACATGGTCATCTATGGCCTGGTCTGTCCTTACCTCAGTGGACTTCCTGCCCAGTAGCAGGTAGGTGGCGGTGATCTCGTCGTACTTCATCCTGGTTAGAGACTCAGTCACTTCCTCCCGAGTGTAACCCATCCCCACCATGATGTCTGCAGGAGAACAGGAGTGGGACGGGACAGCTGTTAGCATCAAAACACCCAATAGGCTGCAGCCTGGTGTGGTCTAGTGGTTAGGGCTGCTGCCTTCAGAGCACATGTACCGTGTCAGTGTCAGAGTTCCAATCCAGCCCACACCCTTTTGACAACAAACCCTCTTTCAACTTTCCTGTGTCTCCCTCATGGTCTCTATCCAATAATGAAAATAATATGCAAGAAAAAAACAACAACCATTGGTTGGGACTGTGTGAACATCTATCCCCATTTCCTATTTGGTGAGGGGTACCAAAATACTAGGCAGTGAGGGCAATGTGTTTGAATTGAATTGAATAAACTTTTTTAATCCCACAAGGGGAAATTGGATGTACAGCAACAACACTCATGCATACATCAGAGAGACACAGAGCGAGAGAGAGCACTGATGGCTGGTGAAAGAAGCACCACTCAACACAAAACAAAACCTAAAACGAAGGCAGTAAAAAGTAGAGGGGAAGTCAACCAAACAGGGTCTTATTGTTGTTGTGGTTGTGGAATATCCTTTCTGACACTGATAACACTTGTCTCTCTCCCCCAGTCTCTCTCTCATCAGTGCTGAGTGAGACAGAGGGCATGGTAGGAGCAGATCAATGCTGGCATCGACAAACAGAGGGTATGGTAGGAGCAGATCAGTGCTGGCATCGACAGACAGAGGGCATAGTAGGAGCAGATCAATGCTGGCATTGACAAACAGAGGGCATGGTAGGAGCAGATCAATGCTGGCATCGACAAACAGGGTGCATGGTAGGAGCAGATCAATGCTGGCATCGACAAACAGAGGGCATGGTAGGAGCAGATCAATGCTGGCATCGACAGACATGGTAGGTGGCAAGCACAGGGTGTGAGGGGGAGCAGGGTGGAGTGGAAAGAACAAGGTCTGCCAGACTGTATCGACTCCTGGATCTGTGAGTGTGTGTGTGTTTGTGTTTGTGTGTGTGTTTGTGTGTGCGCATGCACATGTACATTTTAATGTTCATGCGTGGTCAAGCGTGCTTTTTAATGACAGTGTGTTACGGAGTGTGGTTGTGTTCATGCGTGGTCAAGCGTGCTTTTTAATGACAGTGTGTTACGGAGTGTGGTTGTGTTCATGCGTGGTCAAGCGTGCTTTTTAATGACAGCGTGTTACGGAGTGTGGTTGTGTTCATGCGTGGTCAAGCGTGCTTTTTATTGACAGCGTGTTACGGAGTGTGGTTGTGTTCATGCGTGGTCAAGCGTGCTTTTTAATGACAGTGTGTTACGGAGTGTGGTTGTGTTCATGCGTGGTCAAGCGTGCTTTTTAATGACAGTGTGTTACCGAGTGTGGTTGTGTTCATGCGTGGTCAAGCGTGCTTTTTAATGACAGTGTGTTACGGAGTGTGGTTGTGTTCATGCGTGGTCAAGCGTGCTTTTTAATGACAGCATGTTACGGAGTGTGGTTGTGTTCATGCGTGGTCAAGCGTGCTTTTTAATGACAGTGTGTTACGGAGTGTGGTTGTGTTCATGCGTGGTCAAGCGTGCTTTTTAATGACAGTGTGTTACGGAGTGTGGTTGTGTTCATGCGTGGTCAAGCGTGCTTTTTAATGACAGTGTGTTACGGAGTGTGGTTGTGTTCATGCGTGGTCAAGCGTGCTTTTTAATGACAGTGTGTTACGGAGTGTGGTTGTGTTCATGCGTGGTCAAGCGTGCTTTTTAATGACAGCGTGTTACGGAGTGTGGTTGTGTTCATGCGTGGTCAAGCGTGCTTTTTAATGACTGTGTACGTGTGTGTGTCTGAGTGGAGTGCTAGGCCTTGGGTTGCCCGTGGGTGTCTGAAAACAACCAAGCTCTGCCAGGCTCACGTTGGTCACAGCTCCTCAGGACCTTGATTAGTAGAATCAGGTGTGTTAGAGCAGGGCTGGAACAAAAGCCTGTATACTCAGCAATTCTCCATGAGGAGGGCTGACCATCCCTGGTTTAATAAAGTCATTATCTATATTCATAAGTATGGATACAGTATATAGGTGCATAGATGTAAAGCAAGTCCCCAATTCGCTCCCTAACCCTTCCTGTTGATGTTTGCAAACCTATAAAGGTGGAAGCTCGACCACTACACTGTTTATTTCTACCTATCCAGACCGTTAAGATCATTGAAGGGTTAGGGAGAGAAATGGGAGCGGCTGATACACAGAGGAGTGTTTGAGTCAGTGTACCTATTCTCTTCTGGTCCGTGATGTCCGTTTCTGGTTCCACAAAGGGCTTCATCTCATCCTCCTCACAGCCGGCGTTTATCCACCGGTCCTTCATGATTTGCTAGGAGGGAGAAGGACAAACACACGGCATAAATTACACTCTACAGGCCCAGTTTCCCCTCCAAACGAAGGGGAATTTGATAACAGGGATCAGGGCCACATTACAAATCAACCCCTGCACCTTATGCCTATGAACTTAGATCTGTATAGGATTAATGGATTGGATAGGGACTATAAAAGCAATATGTCAAACTACGCTATATATTTATATAATATAATAATATGTCAACCTAGGCTATATATTTATATAATATTATAATATGTCAACCTAGGCTATATAATATGTCAACCTAGTGGATTCGGAAAGTATTCAGACCCCTTGACTTTTTCTACATTTCGTTACGTTACAGCTTTCCTCTAAAATGTATTAAATTGTTTTTTTTCCCCTCATCAATCTACACACACTACCCCAAAATGACAAAGCAAAAACTGTTTTTTTTGTTGTTGTGCAAATGTATTAAAGACAAAAAAATAAAATGTTACATTTACATAAGTATTCAGACGCTTTACTCAGTACTTTGTTGAAGCACCTTTGGCAGCGATTACAGCCTAGATTCTTCTTCGGTATGATGCTACAAGCTTGGCACACATGTATTTGGGGAGTTTCTCCCATTTTTCTCTGCAGATCCTCAGGTTGGATGGGGAGCATTGCTGCACAGCTATTTTCAGGTCTCTCCAGAGATGTTCGATCGGGTTCAAGTCCGGGCTCTGGCTGGGCCACTCAAGGACATTGAGAGACTTGTCCCGAAGCCACTCCTGCGTTATCTTGGCTGTGTGCTTAGGGTTGTTGTCATGTTGGAAGGTGAACCTTCACCCCAGTCTGAGGTTCTGAGCGCTCTGGAGCAGGTTTGCATCAATGATCTCTCTGTACTTTGCTCCGTTCATCTTTCCCTCATTCCTGACTAGTCTCCAAGTCCCTGCCACTGAAAAACATCCCCACAGCATGATGCTGCCACCACCATGCTTCACCATAGGGATGGTGCCAGGTTTCCTCCAGACATGACGTTTGGCATTCAGGCCAAAAGAGTTCAATCTTGGTTTCATCAGACCAGAGAATCTTGTTTCTCATGGTCAGAGTCCTTTAGGTGCCTCTTGGCAAACTCCAAGTGGGCCGTCATGTGCCTTTTACTGAGGAATGGCTTCCGTCTGGCCACTGCGATTAAGGCCTGATTGGTGGAGTGCTGCAGAGATGGTTGTCCTTCTGGAAGGTTCTCCCATCTCTACAGAGGAACTCTGGAGCTCTGTCAGAGTGACCATCGGGTTTTTGGCCACCTCCCTGACCACGGCCCATCTCCCCCTATTGCTCAGTTTGGCCAGGAGGCCAGCTCTAGGAAGAGTCTTGGTGGTTCCAAACTTCTTCTATTTAAGAATGATGGAGGCCACTGTGTTCTTGAGGACCTTCAATGCTGCAGACATTTTTTGGTACCCTTCCCCAGATCTGTGCCTTGACACAATCTGTGCCTTGACACACATTTTCATCATAGGTACACGTCAACTATGACAGACAAAATGAGAAAAAAAAATCCAGAAAATCACATTGTAGGATTTTTTATGAATTTATTTGCAAATTATGGTGGAAAATAAGTATTTGGTCAATAACAAAAGTTTCTCAATACTTTGTTATATACCCTTTGTTGGCAATGACACAGGTCAAAGGTTTTCACACACTGTTGCTGGTATTTTGGCCCATTCCTCCATGCAGATCTCCTCTAGAGCAGTGATGTTTTGGGGCTGTCACTGGGCAACACGGACTTTCAACTCCCTCCAAAGATTTTCTATGGGGTTGAGATCTGGAGACTGGCTAGGCCACTCCAGGACCTTGAAATGCTTCTTACGAAGCCACTCCTTCGTTGCCCGGGCAGTGTGTTTGGGATCATTGTCATGCTGAAAGACCCAGCCACGTTTCATCTTCAATGCCCTTGCTGATGGAAGGAGGTTTTCACTCAAAATCTCACGATACATGACCCCATTCATTCTTTCCTTTACACGGATCAGTCGTCCTGGTCCCTTTGCAGAAAAACAGCCCCAAATCATTATGTTTCCACCCCCATGCTTCACAGTAGGTATGGTGTTCTTTGGATGCAACTCAGCATTCTTTGTCCTCCAAACACGACGAGTTGAGTTTTTACCAAAAAGTTCTATTTTGGTTTCATCTGACCATATGACATTCTCCCAATCCTCTTCTGGATCATCCAAATGCACTCTAGCAAACTTCAGACGGGCCTGGACATCTGGCACTGCAGGATTTGAGTCCCTGGCGGCGTAGTGTGTTACTGATGGTAGGCTTTGTTACTTTGGTCCCAGCTCTCTGCAGGTCATTCACTAGGTCCCCCCGTGTGGTTCTGGGATTTTTGCTCACCGTTCTTGTGATCATTTTGACCCCACGGGGTGAGATCTTGCGTGGAGCCCCAGATCGAGGGAGATTATCAGTGGTCTTGTATGTCTTCCATTTCCTAATAATTGCTCCCACAGTTGATTTCTTCAAACCAAGCTGCTTACCTATTGCAGATTCAGTCTTCCCAGCCTGGTGCAGGTCTACAATTTTGTTTCTGGTGTCCTTTGACAGCTCTTTGGTCTTGGCCATAGTGGAGTTTTGAGTGTGACTGTTTGAGGTTGTGGACAGGTGTCTTTTATACTGATAACAAGTTCAAACAGGTGCCATTAATACAGGTAACGAGTGGAGGACAGAGGAGCCTTTTAAAGAAGAAGTTACAGGTCTGTGAGAGCCAGAAATCTTGCTTGTTTGTAGGTGACCAAATACTTATTTTCCACCATAATTTGCAAATAAATTCATTAAAAATCCTACAATGTGATTTTCTGGATTTTTTTCTCTCAATTTGTCTGTCATAGTTGACGTGTACCTATGATGAAAATTACAGGCCTCTCTCATCTTTTTAAGTGGGAGAACTTGCACAATTGGTGGCTGACTAAATACTTTTTTCCCCCACTGTATGTGCCAGGCTCTTTCTGCTTCGGCCAACTCCTTTCTCATTGGCTTGTTTGGCAAGACCAGGAAGTGGGGTTGTTGAATGCAGAACCAGCCTGGCACCCTGAATGTTAAGAATGGATCCTTTAGTACAGGGGTAGTAAACAGGGGTTGGGATCAATTCCATTTAAATTCAGATTGGGGCCAATTCTTTGAGTGAATTTAATTGGAGTTGTCCCCAACTCTGGCAGTCAAGTAACTGCCTTGAGGTCTGCATTATTGCTGGTTTTCCTTTTTCTCTGGAAGTAAATTGATTGATTGGCCAAAGATGTCACTCACCTGGGTCGTGTTCATTGGAGCACACCACAGAAAATGTTTTTCAACGGACAACAGTCCATTTTCTTCCATTTGCTGCCTAATGAACTGAACCGTAGTGTACCAGGTCTGAATCAGTCCCTGATTATAGGGGAAGGATGAAAACCAGCAGTGCTGCGGACACTTCAGGTCTAGATTTCAATTCAGGAATTGACTGAATTGAAATGGAATTGACCCCAACCCTGGAGGCGGGTCTATAGAAAGACCTTGGGTCAGTAGAGTCGTTTACTGGGGTCACGTTCAGCAGAAAATGTTACAGAACGTTCAGCTAGAAATAGACATCCTTCTCTCTCACGAGGGAATCGTGTCAACTCTATATCATATATTTCTATCTGCAACACCCAGTAACGTTGCAACCACCCGGACACGTCCCAGGATCCATTCCAATTGGGAGCATCTGATAACTTGACTTTGGTAGGGTGGGGGAGCCAGGATTGGGCTCTGTTCCATTTCGCTTCAGACATTTCAGGGAATTTAATTGGAATTCAGCTCATGGATTGCTGGAAATGAGCCATTATTATATAAGTTGACTGACTTGAAATGGCATTGAGCCCAAACCTGGAGGGCAGTGACAGAGCAGAGTTGGATAGACTGGAAAGTGGAGGGTACCCAGGAGGGTACAAGGTGGTTGGATGAGTGTAGGAGCGTGTGTGTGTGTGTTCCCATCAGCCACTGTAGCGAGCCCTTGGTATCCAAACACCTAGCTAGTTGGGTGAAGTGCTTAGGGAAGAAACACACATACTGGCTTTAGCTGTGCTTAGCCGCAGTGTGTCGCATTAGTCATTGTGTATCACAGATACTAGAAAAGGAACACTTTTCTTTTTCTCTCTAGCCTGGGGGACGTGGTACAAAACGGACTGCTGCCCCTCTAGTCACTGATCTCCCTCAACGTCAGCAAGTCAAAAGAGCTGATCGTGGACTACAGGAAACGAGGGGTGAGCACGCCCCCCCATCCACAATCGACAGGGCTGTAGTGGAGCGGGTCGAGAGATTCAAGTTCCTCTGTGTCCACATCACTAAGGAATTAACATGGTCCACACACACCAAAACAGTCGTAAAGAAGGCACGACAATGCCTCGTCCCCCTCAGGAGGCTGAATAGATTTGGCATGGGCCCTCAGATCCTCAAAAAGTTTTACAGCTGCACCATTGAAAGCATCTTGACTGGCTGCATCACCGCTTGGTATGGCAACTGCTTGGCATCCAACCACAAGGCGCTACAGAGGGTAGTGCGTACAGCCCAGTACATCACTGGGGCCGACCCCCCCTGCCATCCAGGGCCTCTATACCAGGCGGTGGCAGAGGAAGGCCCTAAAAAAGACCCCAGCCACCCAAGTCATTGACTGTTCTCTCTGGTACCGCATGGCAAGCGGTACCGATTCACCAAGTCTGGAACCAACAGGACCCTGAACAGCTTCTACCCCCAAGCCATAAGACTGCTAAATAGTTAGTTAAATAGTTAACCAATAGCGACCAGGACTATCGGCATTGACCCCCATTTTTGCAGTCTTTTCACTCATCACATACGCTGCTGCTACTGCTTATTATCTAGCATGTTGCCTAGTAACTTTACCCCTGCCTATATGTACATATCTACCTCAATCACCTCGTACCCCTGCACATGGACTCGGTACTGGTACCCCGTGTATATAGACAAGTTATCGTTACTCATTGTGTATTAATTCCTCTGCATTGTTGGGAAGGGCCCGTCAGTAAGCATTTCACTGTTAGTCTACACCTGTTGTTTACCAAGCATTTGACAAATAACATTTGATTTGATTAGATCAAAGGTCAGATAAATACAAGTATGTACACAAAAGCACAGAATGCTGTATGTGGGGGGTGGGGGGGTGGTGTGGGTGTGTGTGTGTGTGTGTGTTTCTGTATACGTGCGCGTGCATGAGTGCATGTGCATCTAGCAGAGGGAAATCTACTTTAGCAGTGGGAAGAGGTGTGTGTGTGTGTGTGTGTGTGTGCATGTATGTGTGTGCGACCACATTCAGGTGTGGTTTTCAAACCCTGCATGCCATGCATCTCCACACAGGTAGAATCCAGGAAGGAGTGACGTAAAGAAGGAAGGAGTCCGTGCCAGAGGGCTGCACGGCGAAGTAAAACAAAAGTAATAAGGGTAAAACATATTTACATTTTGGCCTTCCTCCCTCACCTCGAGTGTCCCGCGCTTGGCTGGGTTGAGCACCAGGAAGCGCTTGAGGAGGTTTTCACAGTCGGTGGACATGTAGAAAGGGATACGGTATTTACCCCTTAGAACACGCTCTCTCAGCTCCTATAGTGGGAGATAGAGAGGAGAGGTTAAAAGGTAGGGTCGGGGGTTAAGGGTCAGGGGTTAGGGTCAGTTGGTGGACATGTAGAAGGGGATAAGGTATTTCCCCCCCCCCCAAATGAATCAGCTACCCCAAAACACGCTCTCAGCTCCTTTGTGTATGTATTGATATGTAAGCTTTGTGTGCCATTTTTACATTTATGTCTTTCTGTCCTTGAGCGGTTCTTGTCTATTAATGTTCTGTATTATGTCATGTTTCATGTTTTGTGTGGACCCCAGGAAGAGTAGCTGCTGCTTTCGCAACAGCTAATGGGGATCCTAATAAAATACCAAATACCTATAGGGAGAGGTAGAGAGGAGAGGTTAAAGGTAGGGTCAGGGGTTAAAGGTCAGGGGTCAGTCGGTGGACATGTAGAAGGGGATACGGTATCCCCCCCCCCCCCAAAACATGCCCTCTCAGCTCCTATAGGTGGAAATAGAGAGGAGAGGTTAAAGGTAGGGTCAGGAGTTAGAGGTAAGGGGTCAGTCGGTTGGACATGTTGAAGCAGATACGTTATTTCCCCCTCAGACAAAGCTCTCTCAGCTCCTACAGAGGATATCAGGAGGGGGGAGGACCATCTTTTAAAATAGTGAAACATTAAAAAAGTTATCCTTTTTAGATAAAACTACACTAAATATATTCACGTCACCATTAAATCACACTGTTTTGCAATGAAGGTCTACAGTAGCCTCAACAGCACCCTATAGGGTAGCACCATGGTGTAGCCGGAGGACAGCTATTTTCCGTCCTCCTCTGGGTACAATGACTTCAATACAAAACCTAGGAGTCTCATGGTTCTCACCCCCTTCCATAGACTTACACATTCATTATTACAACTTCCGGAGGACGTCCTCTAACCCATCAGAGCTCCTGCTGTATAAACTAACATCTTGTCCATCCAATCAAAGGATCAGATAATGAAAGCATACAGCTACAGCTAGCTAGCACTTCAGTGCATAAAGTGTGGTGAGTAGTTGATTCAGAGAAAAATAAAATAGTTGAACAGTTTTGAACAAATTAATTTCTTCAAAAATGAAGGAGAAGCAGCAGAGCGAGAGAGAGAGCTAGCTATATTTCATTGTATATTTTTTTCTTCTTCGATTACCTTTCACTTAGCTAATGCAGCCAATTTAGCCTACTCAACAACCTGACTCAGAGAGGAATGCTATTTATGTTAGCTAGCTGGCTAAGGCTATCTAACACTGCAACTCTTCCAAGTCAAGTTAAGCTTTCAGTTGTATAAATGTATTGCCACCGGGGCCCGCCGGTGTAACCGCTTGCTGTACACTGTACTGCGTGATTGTACACATGGATTGGATTGTGGGTTTACTAACATGTTAGTTCTAGGTTGTTGACTATAACGTTAATATGGTGACGGTGTAGGCTGTGTGTTATGGTATGAAGGTTTGGCTTGGGGAAGTTTTTTGCGCCTGGTCACAGACAGCTGTTGTGAGAGAAGGAGAGCGCGTAGATGCGACAAGGGATTATACAACGAGCAAAGAAAGTGAACTGCGTGTGCGGGTGATCAAGGGTGTATTCATTCCGCCGATTCTGTTGCAAATAATATTTTTAACGGAACGCAACGTGGAGGGACCTACCTGAATTTATCCAATAGAAACTGGTGTTTTAGTTGCAAAACTGTTTGGATTAATGATCAGCTAGATGCAGGCAAGAGTGTGCAATGCGGTATTGAATGTGTCACTGTCACTTTGATTACTACAATTTGTTTCTCAACCTGTGCACTTACGTTATAAACGTTCATTTGTAGGCTAGGTTGTAGCAACCTCATGATGGGTATTGGGAGAGTTCGAGTATCATGTAGTAGCCTAAACCTATCGATGTTACATTGAGCTGGGTGAATGGAATGTGAATGACAGTCATCCAACATGCCAGGGATCACCAACTGGATTCAGCCGCGGGGAAGATTCTTTCTTGAGCGGATGGTCGGGGGGGGCCGGAACATAATTACAAATCATTTGTAGACTGCAAATTGACCACAAGGAGCCCAAACAGATGTTTGACTAAGACACAATCGTTCCAAACATTGCTTATACTTCTATACAATCACACGTCTCTCTATTATGCGTGGGAACACTTGGGAACGGATTTCTTCAAATTAAAATCACTTGGAGCTGATTTTCAGGTGTTTTTACAGGTCTTATGTCCAACAATGCCGCCAGTTGGGGAACCCTGCAATATGCTGTAATAGAAATAAAGGAAGGGAAAGGAGGACATCTAGTCAGTTGCACAACTGAATGCATTCAACCGAAATGTGTCTTTCGCATTTAACCCCATAAGGCCATGCTCATTAAAAAAAAAAAGTGTCCTCCCTAATCTTGAACAGCACAAACCGCCACTGAAAAAGACGTCGCAATTCTCTACCTTTCTCCCAAAGTGTGCAATCATGCCCTCTTCGCCACGCATTGAGCATGGTAGGCAAGTGTAAGCATCGGCTAGATGGAGTTCTTACAACACACCTTTCCTTTTAAAGCAAGTGCACGTTTAGGACAGATGGGTAGAGAACTGGTTAAAAGGTTAATGCACTCACACATATACACACACCTTGAGGTTCTGACCATCGAAGGGCAGTGACCCTGACACCAGCGTGTACAGGATGACCCCCAGGCTCCAGACGTCCACCTCTGGTCCGTCGTACTTCTTCCCCTGGAACAGCTCCGGGGGCGGCGTAGGGAGGAGAGCCACAGAACGTGTCCAGCTTACTTCCCATGACAAACTCATTACTGAAGCCAAAGTCGGCAATCTTGATGTTCATGTCGGCATCCAGGAGTAAGTTCTCAGCCTGGTTGAGGTGGGTGGGGGAGAGGGGGGGGGAGAGAGAGAGAGAGAGAGAGAGAGAGAGAGAGAGAGAGAGAGAGAGAGGTGTGACACAAGATGCACCATGCTACACACTGGACATTTACACCGGCAGTAACGTTGTCAGACTCTCTTTTTAACCCACTTCACAGACCTGAATGTGGCAGATAGAAAAATAATGAAGAGAGCTATTAGGGGAAAGAGAGAGATATGAAGAGAGGATAGAGGACCAAACGGGAGAAATGAAAAATAGTTTCTTCCTAGGTTTCTGCCTTTCTAGGGAGTTTTTCCTAGCCACCGTGCTTCTACATCTGCATTGCTTGCTGTTTGGGGTTTTAGGCTGGGTTTCTGTATAGCACTTTGTGACATCTGCTGATGTAAAAAGGCCTTTATAAATAAATGTTGATTGATTGATTGAAAGAGAAGAGAGAGGGGTTGACAAGAGGAGAGGAACAAGAGGGAGAGCAGGAAAGTGGGGGAGGAGGAAGACAAAGAAGGGAATGAGGTACAGAGGATGAGCAAGATGCCAACCACCTCCTTGCCCGACGCGTGGCATCTGACATCTTTCTTCTTGTTTCCTCCACTCTCCTTCTCCCTATCTCTATCCATCTCTATCTGTTCCTCCCTCCCACTTTCTCTCCTTCTCCCCCGTTTCTCTATCCATCTCTATCTGTTCCTCCCTCCCACTTTCTCTCCTTCTCCCCCTGTTTCTCAATCCATCTCTATCTGTTCCTCACTCCCACTTTCTCTCTTTCTCCATTACGCACCCTCTCACTCGTGCTCATGCATCATTTAGGACGTCTCATCGTGGAAACAGAGCGTGGAAACAGAGCGTGGAAACAGAGCGTGGAAACAGAGCGTGGAAACAGAGCGTGGAAACAGAGCGTGGAAACAGAGCGTGGAAACAGAGCGTGGAAACAGAGCGTGGAAACAGAGCGTGGAAACAGAGCGTGTAATGCCCTGTAGACTACTACACTGTGTCACAAGCACACATCTCTATGGGATGGTAACACAACATCCCATGTGGTAGCCGGTGAGACCCCTGCTAAAGGAGTAGGAGGTGATTATGAACAGTGAGGAGAGTGTGTGTGTGTGTGTGTATGTGTCATGGTACGCGTATGTGTGCCAGGGTACGTGTGTGCAGGTGTAGGATCTTAATTTGATCACCCTGTTGCAGGACAACTTTCCCGCCTGCAATGCAGAAAATGTAAAACTTGTAGTGTATTTGAGGTTTAACACTGGAACCGCTGGGCCTCGAAGGTCCCCCCTCATTCTGACTGCAACATTATTACAGTGTAACTAATATACAGTGGGGAAAATAAGTATTTAGTCAGCCACCAATTGTGCAAGTTCTCCCACTTAAAAAGATGAGAGAGGCCTGTAATTTTCATCATAGGTACACGTCAACTATGACAGACAAATTGAGAAAAGAAAATCCAGAAAATCACATTGTAGGATTTTTAATGAATTTATTTGCAAATTATGGTGGAAAATAAGTATTTGGTCACCTACAAACAAGCAAGATTTCTGGCTCTCACAGACCTGTAACTTCTTCTTTAAGAGGCTCCTCTGTCCTCCACTCGTTACCTGTATTAATGGCACCTGTTTGAACTTGTTATCAGTATAAAAGACACCTGTCCACAACCTCAAACAGTCACACTCCAAACTCCACTATGGCCAAGACCAAAGAGCTGTCAAAGGACACCAGAAACAAAATTGTAGACCTGCACCAGGCTGGGAAGACTGAATCTGCAATAGGTAAGCAGCTTGGTTTGAAGAAATCAACTGTGGGAGCAATTATTAGGAAATGGAAGACATACAAGACCACTGATAATCTCCCTCGATCTGGGGCTCCACGCAAGATCTCACCCCGTGGGGTCAAAATGATCACAAGAACGGTGAGCAAAAATCCCAGAACCACACGGGGGGACCTAGTGAATGACCTGCAGAGAGCTGGGACCAAAGTAACAAAGCCTACCATCAGTAACACACTACGCCGCCAGGGATTCAAATTCTGCAGTGCTAGACATGTCCCCCTGCTTAAGCCAGTACATGTCCAGGCCCGTCTGAAGTTTGCTAGAGTGCATCCAGAAGAGGATTGGGAGAATGTCATATGGTCAGATGAAACCAAAATAGAACTTTTTGGTAAAAACTCAACTCGTCGTGTTTGGAGGACAAAGAATGCTGAGTTGCATCCAAAGAACACCATACCTACTGTGAAGCATGGGAGTGAAAACATCATACTTTGGGGCTGTTTTTCTGCAAAGGGACCAGGACGACTGATCCGTGTAAAGGAAAGAATGAATGGGGCCATGTATCGTGAGATTTTGAGTGAAAACCTCCTTCCATCAGCAAGGGCATTGAAGATGAAACGTGGCTGGGTCTTTCAGCATCACAATGATCCCAAACACACCGCCCGGGCAACGAAGGAGTGGCTTCGTAAGAAGCATTTCAAGGTCCTGAAGTCTCCAGATCTCAACCCCATAGAAAATCTTTGGAGGGAGTTGAAAGTCCGTGTTTGCCCAGCGACAGCCCCAAAACATCACTGCTCTAGAGGAGATCTGCATGGAGGAATGGGCCAAAATACCAGCAACAGTGTGTGAAAACCTTGTGAAGACTTACAGAAAACGTTTGACCTGTGTCATTTGCCAACAAAGGGTATATAACAAAGTACTGAGAAACTTTTGTTATTGACCAATACTTATTTTCCACTATAATTTGCAAATAAATTCATTAAAAATCCTACAATTGATTTTCTGGATTTTTTTTCTCTCATTTTGTCTGTCATAGTTGACGTGTACCTATGATGAAAATTACAGGCCTCTCTCATCTTTTTAAGTGGGAGAACTTGCACAATTGGTGGCTGACTAAATACTTTTTTTCCCCACTGTATCTCATATATGATATCACAAAAATAATCATTTGGTTGTGTTTATGAAGGTCTTAGATAACATAAGAATACAAAGAAAAAATATATTTTATAACGACAAGAAATATATATATTTGTATTCGTGGAGTGCCAACTTGTTCCAACTATGAAACAGAAATCATATGGGTTGAAACACGTAACAGCTTATTTTTCTAATGACGAAACTAAAAATACCTTAACCACCAAGGCGCACAGTCACCAAGACGCACGGTCACCAAGACGCACGGTCACCAAGACGCACGGTCACGGTCACCAAGACGCATGGTAACCAAGACGCACGGTCACCAAGACGCACTGTCACCAAGACGCACGGTCACCAAGACGCACGGTCACCAAGACGCACGGTCACCAAGACGCACGGTCACCAAGACGCACAGTCACCAAGACGCACGGTCACCAAGACGCACGGTCACGGTCACCAAGACGCATGGTAACCAAGACGCACGGTCACCAAGACGCACTGTCACCAAACGCCACGCACGGTCACCAAGACGCACGGTCACCAAGACGCACGGTCACCAAGACGCACTGTCACCAAGACGCACTGTCACCAAGACGCACTGTCACCAAGACGCACGGTCACCAAGACGCACGGTCAAATGATGAAAACATCAGTAGCCTAAACATCATAAGCTCCAAGTGTGCTTCATAAATTGTGAAAATCATATCCTATTGGTGTCACCTCTGTCTACCTGTTCACCTGTGTATTTATGCCCTCACTTCCCTGTATTCCCTTGCTCGGTTTTCTCTTCTAGTTTCTCGATGCCAAACAGTACTAATCAGTGTCTGATCGCGAGACGTATGTACAGGTACTTGAGAAGTGTTCTCCCTGTTTCATTGTTGTTTTCAGTCGTAGTTAGTATTTCGTATGTTTGCGGTCATCCTGTTTTTGGAGACCAATTTGCTCCTGCTTTATTATTTCGTGATAAGTCCGTTGTTTTGTATCCTGGCTTCGGGACCACCAGTAAAGATCCTTGTTTCACCATCTCTGCCTACTGTCTAACCTGCACCGCACCTGGGTCACACCTCACACCAACCCTTATATCAGAGATGTCATGATTCATTTCTTCCCCACCATCCGAGTCGTTTTCATTCAGATCTTGTAGCAGCACAAACGCAGAATGTGCATCCATTTGTCTTGGTCTTAATACCGTTGTAAATGACGCATGCTCTCACTGTGTTCTCCAAGTAGACCAAAGTAGACTGATAAAACTGCTTGGATTCGGTGGACTGATAAAGGGTACATAGCATTTTGAGATAATAATCAGAATAGATCCATTCTCCCCCATCATACTTTACTTCATTTATTTCATCTGTTGTTATATCTGTGAAATTAGTTTCGGTACAGTTTAGGTTCAGTTTCGAGGCAGTTATCGGGGTGATTATCAACTGGGCACCTTCAACTGTGGGGAGAAGGAGGGGAAACCCTATTTTAGGAGGGCATGTAATTTTTCCCCTGGAAAACCATTCAAAGAAATGACATGCCCTGCTAAAACTCGTTTTGACACCAGTTCTGTTTGTGATATTAAGATTGTAACAACAACAGTGTGGTAAATACACTTATTTAGGAAAAGTCTAGGAGTGAGAGGGGCATGACTTTAAAAATGTAATCAATGAGCCGTCCAAATGATGACTGATTTAGTGGTTCTAGCGTTTAGAAGTCTTCTGAAGTTTGTCATTTCCACTTTGAAAATGTCTTGATTTTCCCTTACGAAAATGTATCAATCCTTACAAAAATGTCCATTAATTATAATCCACATAATAATTCACATTTCCTGTTGCTGCAGGATTATTGTCCTGCTGTAGCAAACTGGTTCAAATTAAGATCCTACGTGTGTGTGTGTGTGTGTGTGTGTGTGTGTGTGTGTGTGTGTGTGTGTGTACGTAAAGTCTTCATTACCTTCAGGTCTCTGTGTACGATGTGTTTCTGATGACAGTACTGTACAGCTGACACAATCTGGAAAGGAATTTACCAAAACCATAAAATGACAAGTCAGAACATCTTATTAGACAGTTGTCCTACGACGTTTCATAGGTTCGTCTTCAAGGGACAACTACAGACACTGCAGACCTTGACATTTCAGAGTTTGACACATGGCAGAGGAGCTTGGGGTTCAGAGTGTGTGTGTGTGGACAATTAGCAACATCCACCAGCAGCACCCACACTTCTCAGACCTCTATTGATTGGACAACAGGGACGTGCTTGTGGCTAGAACAGCGTGTCAGATCTGGTGGAATTCCCCATCTAGGTAAGCAGTGGCTGATTTGCTGATTACTGTCAATAACATACTTTGTAACTACATCAAGAACAATCAATGTAACTACTGAATGGGGTAATATATTTTTTCCAGTCACATGATTCTTTGTTTTGGTGACAGTCATTTTTGCCTCTTCCTCAATGAATAATAGGCCTGCTGGTCAATGTGAAGTTATAACCTCCCATATCCTCTATCTAGTATCATAGTCTCTATATATGCCATTTAGCAGACAATTTTATCCAAAGCGACTTACAGTCCTGCGTGCATTTTTTTTTTTTTACGTATGGGTGCTCCCAAGAATCGAACCCACAATCATAGCGTTGCAAGCGCCATGCTCTACCAACTGAGCTACGTTTAGAGATAAATAACACAATAATATATGTATAAATGCATGTACTGGTATAATACATATAGTAATATCAAAATTACAGTGTCACACCAAATGCTGTTGATAATGCAGCTCTCGTCCACTGGCAGAAGTTATTCTCTCTCTGTGTGTGTGTGTGTGTGTGTGTGTGTGTGTGTGTGTGTGTGCGTGCGTGTGTAGGACTGAATCCAGTCCACTGCGGTACCTGTCTAAATTTAGCCCTGGCCTCCTTCTCCTTCATCCTCCCATGTGCTACGAGATAGTCAAAGACCTCCCCTGGAAGGAGAAAGGGGAAATGGGGGGAGAGATAGAGGTGGGGAGGGAGGGGGAGAGAGAGAGTGGGGGAGTGAGAGAGCGGGGAGAAAGAGAGAGTGAGAGACAGAAAGAAAGAGAGCAGAGAAGGGGAGGGGTTTGCGAGAGGGAGAGATAGAGAGTTTAAGTTCAACTTTGACTGAATGGAGACATGCCACAACTTCCTCTCAGTCCCCCAAATTAAGTGTAAAGTCATATGTCTGGAAACCGCCAAGAAAGCATAAACTGCTAGTTAGGAAGCCTCATTTGTCCTAGGTAAGGCAATATTATGTGTTATTATAAAGTACTATATAAATAGCAGGAGTCAGACCATCCCTGATCCTGGAGAGCTACTGGTAATGCAGGCTTTTGCTCCAGCCCTGCACCTCAAACAGCTGATTCTACTAACAGGCAACTCATCAGGAACTTGACTGCCTGAAGCAGGTGCGTTAGCACAGTGTAGCACCTGGTAGCTATTCAAGAGGAGGGTGTCATACTATAATGTTAGAATCATGATGATAATACTTCCATTTAATATTTATGAGCTTTTCATGCATTATGCTCAAAGCATATTATAAATATTATAGTGTACTCTGTACTACACTATTTACTGTACCTCATATTACTAAGTAGCTTACCTCCACTGGCATATTCCATCACCAGGTAGAGAGTCTTCTCAGTCTCTATCACCTCAAACAGTTTCACTGTGGAAGGAGAGAGAGCGAGAGCGAGAGCGAGAGCGAGAGCGAGAGGGAGAGGGAGAGGGAGAGGGAGAGAAAGAGATTATTTAACTTTTGTTTATTATCTATTTCACTTGTTTTGACAATGTAAACATACAGTATGTTTCCATGCCAATAAAGCCCTTTGAATTGAATTGATATTAGCCAGGTTGCCTCAGGACAGTATACAGTACCAGTCAAAAGTTTGGACACACCTACTCATCCAAGGGTTTTTCTTTATTTTTTACTATTTTCTACATTGTAGAATAATAGTGAAGACATCAAAGCTATGAAATAACACATATGGAATCATGTAGTAACCAAAAATATTTTAGATTCTGACAGCTTTGCACACTCTTGGCATTCTCTCAACCAGCTTCAGCTGGAATGCTTTTCCAACAGTCTTGAAGGAGTTCCCACATATGCTGAGCACTTGTTGGCTGCTTTTCCTTCACTCTGCGGTCCACCTCATCCCAAACCATCTCAATTGGGTTGAGGTCAGGTGATTGTGGAGGCCAGGTCATCTGAAGCAGCACTCCATCACTCTCCTTCTTGGTCAAATAGCCCTTACACAGCCTGGTGGTGTGTTTTGGGTCATTGTCCTGTTGAAAAACAAATGATAGTCCCACTAAGCGCAAACCAGATGGGATGGTGCATCACTGCAGAATGCTGTGGTAGCCATGCTGGTTAAGTCTGCCTTGAATTCTAAATAAATCACAGACAGTGTCACCAGCAAAGCACCTCCACACCATCCACCTCCTCCTCCATGCTTCACGGTGGGAACCACACATGCGGAGATAATCCATTCACCTACTCTGTGTCCCACAAAGACACAGCGGTTAGAACCAAATATCTCAAATTTGGACTCATCAGACCAAAGGACAGATATCCACCGGTCTAATGTCCATTGCTCGTGTTTCTTGGCACAAGCAAGTCTCTTCTTCTTATTGGTGTCCTTTAGTAGTGGTTTCTTTGCAGCAATTTGACCATGAAGGCCTGATTCACACAGTCTCGTCTGAACAGTTGATGTTGACGTGTCTGTTACTTGAACTCTGTGAAGCATTTATTTGGGCTGCAATTTCTGAGGCTGGTAACTCTAATGAACTTATCCTCTAAAGCAGAGGTAACTCTGGGTCTTCCTTTCCTGTGGCGGTCCTCATGAGAGCCAGTTTCATCATAGCGCTTGATCTTTTTTGCGACTGCACTTGAAGAAAATTTTCCGGATTGACTGACCTTCATGTCTTAAGGTAATGATGGGCTGTTGTTTCTCTTTGCATATTTGAGCTGTTCTTGCCATAATATGGACTTGGTCTTTTACCAAATAGGGCTATCTTCTGTATACCAACCCTACCTTGTCACAACACAACTAATTGGCTCAAACGCATTAAGAAGGAAATAAATTCCACAAATTAACTTTTAGCAAGGCACACCTGTTAATTGAAATACATTCCAGGTGACTACCTCATGAAGCTGGTTGAGAAAATGCCAAGAGTGTGCAACGCTGTCATCAAGGTAAAGGGCGGCTACTTCGAAGAATCTAAAATATAAAATATATTTGGATTTGTTTACACTTTTTTGGTTATTACATGATTCCATTTGTGTTATTTCATAGTTTTGATGTCTTCACTATTATTCTACAATGTAGAAAATAGTACAAATAAAGAAAAACCCTTGAGTAGGTGTGACCAAACTTTTGACTGGTACTGTAGGTGCAGTAGCGCTGGATGTTCTGTTAATAATATAATAATAATAATATGCCATTTAGCAGACGCTTTTATCCAAAGCGACTTACAGTCATGCGTGCATACATTTTTTTTGTGTAAGGGTGGTCCCGGGGATCGAACCCACTACCTTGGCGTTACAAGCGCCGTGCTCTACCAGCTGAGCTACAGAGGACCATAGTTCCCAGGCTGCAGTCACATGAGACAGACAGACAGGCCTGAGGGCCAGAGACAGACAGGCCTGAGGGCCAGAGACAGACAGGCCTGAGGGCCAGAGACAGACAGGCCTGAGGGCCAGAGACAGACAGGCCTGAGGGCCAGAGACATAGACAGGCCTGAGGGCCAGAGACAGACAGTCCTGAGGGCCAGAGACATAGACAGGCCTGAAAGCCAGAGACAGACAGGCCTAAGGGCCAGAGACAGGCCTAAGGGCCAGAGACAGACAGGCCTGAGGGCCAGAGACAGACAGGCCTGAGGGCCAGAGACAGACAGGCCTGAGGGCCAGAGACAGACAGGCCTGAGGGCCAGAGACAGACAGGCCTGAGGGCCAGAGACAGACAGACCTGAGGGCCAGAGACAGACAGACTAAGACCTACATGTAGTCATTCAGACAGACAGAGACAGACAGACATATAGACACAGAGTCTACCATAGCAGCTCACTGCAACTCTGCTGCTGCAGCCTCAAGCCCACCAGCACCCCCTGAGCAGATAACTGAGCTTGTGTGTGTGTGTGTGTTTGTGTGTGTGTGTGTGTGTATGTGTGTGTAGGACAGGGGGATACAGAGCATGGAAAGGGATGGAGGAGAGAGACAACACACGAGGGCCGGGGGTGGGTGTGTGTGAGCGTGCCTCTAATCACTCTCGACTCATACCCATATTAGCTTAATCGATGCGCCATGACTAGACACAAAGCACTAGGCTGAGGGAACGTAACTGTGAAATCAAAGCCTACAGTTAGGTGGAAAAGCACCAGCTAGCAGGCAAAGTCTCGCTTTCTGAATCACTGTCTCGTTTCACTGTCTGTCTGTGGGTGCGTTCCAGAACACACTCATTTTGCAGGATAAGGATAGCTGCTAGACAATATTGACATCTGGTACCTGAGACAAAAACTTCTGCGGACATTGTTATGATCTGCACAGAATTTTTTGTACCGTCTGTCTGTCTGTCTGTCTGTTTTCACTCATTCAGCCTCTTTCTTAACTGATCAGTAAGCCTTTGATTGGGCAAAATAGTAGTGTTAGATCTAGGATAGAAAAACAAACAGTGTACTCCCTGGGCTTCGTGCTATATTATACGAATGAAAATTCAACTTGGCCCGAAATTCATTTGGAATAATTTGAACGTTTATGTATCTGCGTGCTTAAATGTTGCTTTGGGCTACTTTGCATCCCACCGAAGAAATTGTCTAAAGGTGAAACAATGCAGATTTTCAAACATATGTTGTAGGGCCCTATAAAATCCGCATTGCGAAGAACGCGGACGAAATCACGGAATCCAGACATTAAAACAGAATTGAACAATATTCAAAAATGTATTGAACTTATTTGAAAATGCATTAATTTGCCCAGACATGAATGTGAGACATGAGACATGCATTTTGTTCATGCCATAAGACATGAACAAAATGCATCAGTGATTCGTATTTTCATGCAACTTTCTGAAACGGCACAGGAATGCCCGTCTGTGTGCATGTGTGTGGTGCGCGTGTATGTCTACACTTGCGTAGCCATTAGCAATGAGGCTAATGATAACCTTCTTCTGGTAGAAATGGAAAGGCTTTCCCAAAAACCTTCTCAATTAAATGTTAACTTCAAAAGTAGCCTGGCAGAATGCTGTCATGATATTTAGTATTATTTTTTATTTTTTTAGGGGGTAGATCAGCTTTAATATTGCAGTTAGATTGTAATTTCCATCAATGTAATTGTCTGCATCACTTCTAATCCCCCATATGATTTTTTTTTCTTTTTTTCCCCTCGCATATATGTGTATATATATGTGTATATATATGTGTGTATATATATATATGTATATATATATATATATATATATATATATATATATATATATATATATGTGTATATATATATATATATATGTGTATATATATATATATACACACACACACAGTCGGGAGAACAAGTATTTGATACACTGCCGATTTTGCAGGTTTACCTACTTACAAAGCATGTAGAGGTCTGTAATTTTTATCATAGGTACACTACAACTGTGAGAGACGGAATCGAAAAAATCCAGATAATCACATTGTATGATTTTTAAGTAATTGATTAGCATTTTATTGCATGACACATCAGAAAAGCAGAACTTAATATTTGGTACAGAAACCTTTGTTTGCAATTACAGATATCATAAGTTTCCTGTAGGTCTTGACCAGGTTTGCACACACTGCAGCAGGGATTTTGGCCCACTCCTCCATACAGACCTTCTCCAGATCCTTCAGGTTTCGGGGCTGTCGCTGGGCAATACGGACTTTCAGCTCCCTCCAAAGATTTTCTATTGGGTTCAGGTCTGGAGACTGGCTAGGCCACTCCAGGACCTTGAGATGCTTCTTACGGAGCCACTCCTTAGTTGCCCTGGCTGTGTGTTTCGGGTCGTTGTCATGCTGGAAGACCCAGCCATGACCCATCTTCAATGCTCTTACTGAGGGAAGGAGGTTGTTGGCCAAGATCTCGCGATACATGGCCCCATCCATCCTGTCCCCTTTGCAGAAAAGCATCCCCAAAGAATGATGTTTCCACCTCCATGCTTCACGGTTGGGATGGTGTTCTTGGGGTTGTACTCATCCTTCTTCTTCCTCCAAACACGGCGAGTGGAGTTTAGACCAAAAAGCTCTATTTTTGTCTCATCAGACCACATGACCTTCTCCCATTCCTCCTCTGGATCATCCAGATGGTCATTGACAAACTTCAGACAGGCCTGGACATGCGCTGGCTTGAGCAGGGGGACCTTGCGTGCGCTGCAGGATTTTAATCTATGACGCCGTAGTGTGTTACTAATGGTTTTCTTTGAGACTGTGGTCCCAGCTCTCTTCAGGTCATTGACCAGGTCCTGCCGTGTAGTTCTGGGCTGATCCCTCACCTTCCTCATGATCATTGATGCCCCACGAGGTGAGATCTTGCATGGAGCCCCAGACCGAGGGTGATTGACCGTCATCTTGAACTTCTTCCATTTTCTAATAATTGCACCAACAGTTGTTGCCTTCTCACCAAGCTGCTTGCCTATTGTCCTGTAGCCCGTCCCAGCC